CTTTTTCTTTCTATCTCTTATAGTGGGGCTGGTGATTGTGATTGTGTTCGTCATCACGATCTCCATAGCAATTGTAGCCAACCTGATGTGCTGGAGCTGTGTGAGGAAACGGTAATTTTACTAAAAAACGCTACTTCTTCCACGGAAAGCCTCATTCTGCTAGACAAACTCTTGAGCCAGCGTCGTGTTTTTTTCTTCGGCTCATCAGTCTGCAGCCTGAACGTTCATAAGTTTTGTTTTACGAGTAAAAGGGATGGAGGACCCTGTGGTTAATTTTTAGTGAAAAACCACACCGCAATATGAGTAAAAACCACTTGATTGTTGTGAACAGAAACCTAAACCTCATTCTGATGTTGCTGTTTGGCTATCTGCATCGTTAGTCATGACATTAGCATCTATGTGCGCTTCCTTGGTGAAGTGTCGGTTCCACTTGCACTTTTAACCACATGTTGTCACGTCACAACCACAAACCTCCGTGTGTTTTACCGGGATTTCATTCATTTAAACCGACACGAAATATTGGACTCGCATAATCGCAACGAAAAGCGCATTCCTGTGGATTCTTTTTTTGTGAACAGTTCCGATCTCAGTCGTATTGAAAGGACAGCATACTGTAAAAAATCATTTTCAAATGCGCGGATTCTCAACAGTCTTCCGGTAGGGCCTTTAATTAGGCCATTCTAACACATGAACAAGCCTTGAGCTGAACTGCAGCACAGAACACAGGACAGGCGAGCATGCGTCCCACATGGTCGAGTCCTAAAAACAACTTAGAGTGGCTATTTCATCTAACATGCACGGATTTGGACTGGAGTACCCAGAGAGAATCCACATATGCGCAGAGAGAACATGAAAACGGCGTTCAGAAAGAACCCAGAACCTTCTCACAGTAAAATAACAGTGATTTATGCAGCTCCTTCTGCGTCACCAGGAGCCTTTTTTTTTATTTATGGGTAGGAGAGTAAAAGAGAGTTGCACAAGTGTCCAGATATTATTTTTACAAAATGTTGAAAGTATGCATGATTTTGCTTGCTCTTCACAATTTTTCCGCTAGTCCGTGCTGGCCTTGAAAATAAAATGCTAATGAAATATAATATGTGGCTGATATGTGACAAAATGTGAAAATGCTTGTGGTTTGAACACTTTTTGCAATAATCTAGGTTTAACTTTGTCAATTCGGATCAATAAAACAAAGTTATACAACTTTGCATGTCCAAAAAACTTGATCTAATTACTTCTTTTGTTGCAGGATCAAACAGAAATGTATCGCATGGGGGCCTGGGTGGCTGGTGGACAACTTGCCCAAACCAGGACACAGCAATGCCATCAGACTGCTGGAGGTAATCAACCCTGGATGTATTAGTACCTAATGACCAGTTCATGCCATTTAAGGATTATTCTAATATTAAACCCATAGAAACATAACTACTGGTTGCTTTTTTGTTCTTCTAGTTCTCAATGACATAAAAATGTGCATTTGTTCAACAAACATATCTATCTTGTAGTGATAACTCAGTATTTGTCAGTCATTTTTGGTTCTGCTGGTTAATTCCTACTGTTTTCTTTTCTTTAGGACGACAGAAATGAGCCTCTTTTCTCCCTCACCGACAGTGACCCGACCCTTTCCCCCATCCTCGTGGTCTCCCAGGACGAGAGCGACGAAGCGTACCCCAGCATCCACGTCGAAGAGTCCCCAGATGGAGCCGAACAGGCGAAGTCACTCCCCAGAACCATTCTGGTTGAACACACCGGCTACAAGCCTCAGATTGCTGCGCTGCTTCCGCTTGACGGCGAGATCAGGGATGCGAGGGAGGAGCAAAGGGAAGATCCAGAAAACGCAGACGAGGACAGGTTTTTGGTTGGATTTGAAGGATTTCTGGGAGGCTTCCTGTCCAATGTGGATTGCTCTAATTCGTCTCTTCGGGTCAGTCTTGGTTCTGGCGGGGATCTTTTGTGGCCTAAAACTCTTGAAAGGTCTGTCTGGAAAGGAGTCTGCTTGCAAGAGATTACCAGAACGGAGGAAGACACGGAGAACAATGTTTTCTCTCCGGATTTGCTGCAGAATCATGGAGAGACTCTCGGTTCAGATGATTCCTGCTCCTCTCTGTTTTCAGTTCACACGTTCCTGAACGGTGGATACTTCCCACAGGTGGCTTCCCTTGATGTGGACACTTGACACACCAAGGTGGCAGCGATGTCGGAGGGACAAGAACTACACTTTTAAGACTAATTTTGAGAAAGCATTACAAAAGCACACATTTTACTCATCATTGTCGTAGTGACTGATTGTATTTAAATGTCATTTTTACTGTGGAGGCGAGTGTGTCAGAGGTTTTAATGGCTGCCCTCTCAGGTGAGAACCTGCTGATCTTTGTGGATGGATGTCCTGTCAACCTGTGCTACCTGTGTGAATAAATGAGCAAAGATATTGATTAAATTTGAAACTTTATTACCCTTAAATACAAATGCGGTACACTGATGTAAAAATATGCTTACCTCCCTTTGTGATTTCCTGTTTTTGCATCCTTGCCACAGAACGTCAAACCAATTTCAATATTAGTCAAAGATAACACAAGATGTTCGTTATTAAGGGTAGAAAAAAAATCAAGCCTACATGGACCTGTGTGAGAAAGTGATTCCAGTTGCACTACGTTTAGCAGCAACAACTCCAAACAACTTGCAGTGAGTCTTTTACAGCTGTGAAGGAAATTTGAGATACTCATTTTGTTCTAACTTGGTCACATTGGAGAGTTTTCCAGCAGGGACTTTTCAAGGTCATGCCCGAGCCTCTCGATAGGTTTCGGGTCAGGACTTTGACTCAGCAAATCCACAGGCCCGTTTTAGTTTTTCTTCAGCCTTTCAGAGGAGGGCTTTGCAGGGGTATTTTGAATCATGTTTCTGCTGCAGAACCCAAGTTCGTTTCATTTGGAAGTCAGGAACAGACGGACAGACGGACGTTCTCCTTCAGGATGTTTAGGTAGATGGCGGTATTCATCGTTCCATTTGTCACAGCAAGTCTTCCAGGTCCATGTTTTACTCTTCGTACAACGTTCTTTGTCTGAAATGCTGTGTTAGTTTTGCACCAGATGCAACGAGATACACAACTTCAAAAGAGTTCGACTTTTCAGTCCACAGAATGTTTTCCCAGAAGTCTTCAAGTTGTGTTCAGGGAAAACTAAGACGAGCCTTAACGGGGTGTTTTTTATTTGTGTTTTTTGCTAGCCAGTGGTTTTAGTCTTGGAACTCTACCAAGACAAACTCTTATGGTGAAGGCATGACCTTTGACCTTCACTAAGGCAAGTGAGGCCTGCAGTTCTTTGGATGTTGTGGGGTCTTTTGTGACCTTTTGGATGAATCATTGCTCTCTTAGGGTAATTTTGTTCAACAAGCCCCTCCTGTTTACTGTTGCATGTGTTTTTTGTTTTGTTTTTTTTTTACCATTTCTTGATAACGGTTCTCACTTTTGTTCGCCGGAGAACCAAAACTTTGGAGTCCAAAAGCTTTAGGAACAACTTTGTAACTTTTCCAAACCTTTAAATCTCAATTGCTCTTCTCTTTCTCTCTCTCTCATTTGTTCCTGAAGTTCTCTGGATCTCAGCATGACGTCCAGTTTTGCAGGATCTTTTTGTGTCCTTCACTCTGTCAGGCAGGTCCTATTTAAGTGAGGTGCTGACTGAGAACAGGTGTGGCAGCAAGTAGGTCCGTGTTTACAGTGAACTCAGGTGTGATAAACCACAGCTAAGTAACAGTGCAGAAAATCACTTTTTTCCACACAGAGCTATGTAGGTTTGGATTTTTTTTCTCCCAAAATAATGAGCATCTTCATGTTGTGTTTACCTGTGTTGTCTTTGGCTAATATTTCTATGTATTTCATGTGAAAAAGATGCATGAAACTAACTTCACTTTGTGTTGTCCTCTAGTGTTAGCTAGTAACGTTGATATTATTAACATAACACCACAAAAAGTGACCTGCATCCTGCAGCAACCGTAACAGTTTGATAGTTTTGAAGTGCGTGTCAAACGTTGCACTACATTAGCGTTTGGACAGCAGCCACTGTTTCACTGTCAATTTAACACCGAGGTCTGACCTCTGCGTGTGTGTCCCCAAGTGGCCCCTGTGTTTAGTGATCCATGAAGTGGCACAGAGAGGGAAATTATTCCAAAACACACAGCTGGGACTTCCCCCATGGCTCCTGGTTAAAACAGTGACAGACCCCTGAACCTTCAGTCCTACTCGAACAAGCACCAGCTGCAGCTCTGCACACATTTTTATCTCTTCCTGAGAGTCGTCTCAGTTCCTGATTGCATTTTCACCAGGGTAACCGACAAATAAAGAGTCTGCACACTTCACTCCCTGCACAAGTTTGATCCCTGATGTTGCTTTTCAATCGGCCTCAAGTTCTGAACTACGTTGAGGTTCAGATTTTGAGGGAAAGTCCCTGACTGCGACGCATGGGCTGGTGTTTGTGAAAGCCACATACACACACACACACACACACACACGGGGTAAGGTGGAAAATGTGAGAGCGCAGGTTTGATGCACTGACAAATGATAAGTAAATAGAAATGCTAAGGAAGAATGTGAACCACTTTCTTTGCCTGAATAACTAGAGTTTAAAGTGTGTCAGATCATAAAACAAAAAAAAGTGAATAATTTTGTAAATATTATAAAAGTGTGTATAAAACGACAGACTAAAAGCAAGAACTGCAGTTTTTAAATTGCTATAAAACTTATTAAAAGTTGAAAGCTAAACTTGACAAAAATGTGAGGGAAAAAAAGTAATAATAATAATAATTTCCTCTAAATATCTTCCTCAGTGTGGAGGAAGATATTCCTACTAGTCAGTTTTATTAAGTGTTTGTCTAGTGTCGATGTTCAGGCTGGGTGTGCTCAGAGTGTGTCGTCACTGATAAACTGTGACGCATACGCACGCGCGGGCACGCGCTGCATTGGGTTCAGGCTTTAGACCGAAGTTTGTCAGTCAGTCACTTCAGCAGAGGCAACGTGTGCGCGCGCAGTCTCCCCGGTCCGAGTGAAGGAGATGCGTGGAAACAGAAGCGGTCACGGATAAAACCTCGAGCCGCTCGGAGAGGCGCTGAACGCGGACAGGACGCCGGGATGAGAGTCGCCGGTGAGTTCTGGGCGACGGGTCCCGTAACGCAACACTTTTTTCATCGCTTTTATCCCCCTCGAGTGTTTTAGGGTCATTCGTGCCATAAATGTCTTTGGGGCTCGTGCGCCGTTTTTATTCTCTTTTCTGCTATGTGTGTTTTTTAAGAGGAACTCACAGGATAGGCGGCGATGTGAGACTCATACTTGCCGCTTCTGGTGACTTACGTCGACGATGTTCCTCTCTTGGTCGGTGACGGTCGTCGCGGTCGCCTTGCTGGTCGCGCAGCAGTGCGCAGGTAAACCTCACGTCTCATCTCAATAAATAAATAAACAATAATAATAATAAACATTACACTTATCTAAAGCGTTCTTAAATTTTAAGAACGCTTAAAATTTAATTGTAATTGGAGTTTTAATGCAAAAAGAAAAAAGAAATGATGGCCTCATCAGCCATTGGGAAGATTGCTGAGTTACCTTTCAAAGAGCTAGTGACACCTGCACTAAGAGGACAAGCCACAAAAGGGTCGTTGTGAATGAAAAGTGTTTGTTGTAGAGTGCGGCATCCAAGCATAAAGATGGAAAGTTTAGTGGAGGAAGAAGGGAAAAAGGTGCAAAAAATAACAGGGAACGCCACCGTGAGCGGACACTGCATCGATCCAGTTCAGTGTGAGAGGCACAGTGTGTTTGGTGTCAAGAGTTTAGGCACATTTCACACACAAACACCCTGGGACTTGGTGCCTTGCTCGGGGGCACATCAAAATGTGACTACTGAAGGAAGACACACTTTCCAATTTCAAGACAGCTGCTCTACCTGCTGTGACACGATAACACCACCAAACAGAGCCGTATCGATGACAAGGGAGGGAACTGTCAAATGTAGGCAGATATGAGCAAGATGTAAAATATTGTTACCTGGGGTAAGTGGATTGTTTTTTTTCTAAAGAAGGTACATTTTGCATTTGTTTGAAAAATTAAGAACCCCAGAGTGTGGCGAGGGAGAGCTGAGAGAAAGAAGTAACGGCTGATTATTTTATTTTTAACAAATAAATTAGCGCTGTCTATTGGAAAAATTCTGATCCTTTCCTCTCCTTTATGGAGATGCTGCTTTTATGTTCCATCTGGACGTGACACTTTCCCACACTGACAAAAGTACAAATACCTGCTTTCACTGCGCAATGTAGACCAAAACCCCACCTGCCATGAGATCAAGAGGAAGATGTGAAGCTGTAGAGCCAACAGCGCAGCTGAGCTGAAGGTTGCCATCAAAGCGGATTGGGCTTCCTGAGCAGAGCCACAGGCCACTCCGCATTAATGCAGTAATTCATGCTAAAGGAACCTCGAGCACAGTCAGTCAAAAAGACGTTCTAATTTCTTGAGATGCGCCTGTGCAATTGAATATTTCACTAGGGTTGTGTCCAAAACATAGAAGGGTATTATTCATTCTCCAGAGTCCTCAGGAAATAACCAGCCCTCCTTCTTCCAGGTGAGGACAACCACAGGAAGTCCTGCGAGTCGTGGTCCGATGCCGGAGACGTGGTGCAGCGAGGCTCCAGCTTCGTGGTGTACTGCACCTTCATCCCCAGATGTAGGACCCAGAGATCCATGTACATCCACAACGGCATCAAATCCGCGCACGAACAACACAACGACACAACCATATTCCTGAAAGTGGAGAACATTACGGAGAACAGGACATACAGCTGTTCGTCTGAATGCAACCCAGTGCTGGACATCTGTGGCCTGGACGTCGCAGCTGGATGTACGTGGGGCGTTTTATTTGGCTGAGATAAGTTTGTTTGTGAAGCAGTTTTATTGCACATGACACAACTGAGTTTGTTTCCTGTTTACATTTCTCTGGAAGAACCGCAGAGCATAAAGCTTTCCTGACCTAAACTGGGGTTAACTTTAGTAACCTGTTCAAAAAAAAAAGGAGCTTGTTCTGCTTTCTCTTTGCTGCTTGGTGACACACAGTTCATAACGAACCGTTGGGAGACATTTTTTTCTGGCTCAAGTTGGGTGGCTGTTTGTTTTCACACATGCAACCAGACACTTTGATCAATTGAACACTGAAACATAGAAAAATGATTCTATTAGTCATAAATTTGTGTTTTTTTGTTTTTTTTTTAAAGACTGCATCCAGTTCCGTAAGGATACAAATTCACAAGCAACGTTTGTCTCCTCTCCTGTCCAGATCCACCGGATCAGCCCAAAAGCATCTTATGCATCTACAGGATCCTCAAATATGACACTGGGAGTGTGAATTGCTCCTGGGACAGAGGAAGAGACACTTACCTTGTCAACCACTTCACGGTGGAGTGAGCACGCTTTCTTCCCACGTTATTCTGCTTGTAAAACTTAGAGCCGTGCCGATGTTGTTGAACTGAAACTTTGCTCTGTGGGCTGCAGGGTTGGAACTGTAAGTGGAAACCAAACGGGACGACTGGTTTTGTCCGGCAAGGCAATTGAGGGGACGTCTGCCAGTTTCACTTTGCCCAGATCTGTCCAGCTCGTGTCGGTGCAGATTCGAGCTCAGAACACCCTGGGTTCTGCTAAATCCTCCATTGTCAGCTACAACCTCAGTGACATCGGTAAGACTCTGAACGCTTGTTGTTGAGCTACGGCTCTGCCCAGATGAATCACGCCGTGTCTAGTCAAGAGAATTCAAAGTCATTTTATTTCCAGAAATCGTTGACTTTTTGCAGCCGATCACCAGCAGTCGTTTCCAATCGCTCATTCCTCTAAACCCTGTTGCATCATAATCTTGTAAATCTTGCTATTACTTTTTGGTTGTAACACGTTCCATAACTTTGTTCTGATCCGAGCAGTGATGCCATCGACGCCCATTGTTGATCAAGTCGAGTGCTCTTCCAGGAACTGCACCATCAAAGTGCAACAGCCTGCGAGGACTAAGCATCTGCAGGTCCAGTACCGAGGCGAGCGGCACCATGACTGGACAACTTATCCAGACTCTGTAAGAAGTTTTAACTCCCCCCAACCCTCGGCTCTCTGAAAGCCCTCGGGGGGCTTTGAGTGAGGCGCAGAAATTGCAAAAGGCAATTTAAGGTCTTTGAACATGTTTGGCTGATCATCTTGCTCTGAGCCTCTGCTGATTCAGAGTCGGAGGCAGATATGAGTCTCTCGGTCGACGTGTGAAGAAGTGAATTTGAGATGACTCACCTGTCTCAGGAATAAGCTGAAAATTTGACCTTTCAGTCTCTTTTGTGCATTTTTTTCAGCAACACAAACCCATCAAAATCGTATTCAAGTCATCTCAGCTTTGTTTGTTTTTTTGTTTTTTTCTGGCATCTAAAAAACAAAACCATGACAGATAAAAATATGTGATAGTGATAGATCACCATAAAGTAGTGCATAATCAATCAAGTGGAGGAACATTTTTTACACTCAAAAGTGAGAAAATTGTTCATTTGTATTTTTCCACAACAGCTAAAGCCGCAAGTATTTGGTGGTACATTGCTCTTAGCTCAAGCTCAGTTAAAGTGGATGGAGAATGGTCAAGCCTGCCACAGTTTGACTATTTGACTTTGACTAGGCCATTCTAAAACATAAATGTACTTTCACATAAATAATTGCATTGCGGCTCTAGCTGTTACTGCCTTCCTGGAAGATGAACCTTCGCCCCAGCCTCAAGTATTTTCCAGCATCTGTGAATCTGTCGTCATTAACCCTGACCAGCTGTACCAGCATGATGCTGCCACTACCATGTCTCAGTGTGCATTTTCAGGGTGTAGATATTTTTGTGGAATGGGTCTCAAGCTGCTCCAAAGAAAACTCACAGGATGTTGTTTCACAATCTAACTCCTCAAATTCCTTCCTCACAAAAAGAAAACTGTTGAAATGTTTCACAGCTGAACTCAAACAGCTGATCAGATACGTTGTGTGCATTGATCGCCTGCAGGCTGGGCTGACGACTTCATTCGAGGCCAAGCTCGTCTCCTCCTTGGAGCCCTGCAGCGTGTACCGTTTCAGAGCGAGGTCCAGATTCAGCACCGGGCTGTGGAGCCGGTGGAGCTCAGCTGTCTCCAGCGCGACTAAAGAAGAGGGTGAGTCTGACGCCAGTGTTGCTTTAAAGCTCTGCTTGTTCTGTCTGCAGACTAACCTCTGTATCAATATAGGCCATCAGACAGTGCAGCGGTGCTTCCTGCAGTCTGGGTTTGTGAGGCAGCTATCAGATCACCACTGACCGACTATCTGAAGGATGAAGTCTTTTTGCGTTTTATCTCGAGAACCCAACCGCTTGTGCTGATAAGGCGACCGATGTGCCATGTCCCTGCTGAGATTTCATTGAATTGATTTGGGAGAATTTAGTTGTCACTCGCTCTTGCATCACTTGAGAGTGAAGGAAACCAGGAGGAATCTCCTTTATGGGAAGTGGAGCAGTGTATTTTGTCGTTCTGATGGTGTGAAGATATGGAGGCAGCTCTATAAAAATGCATGAGCTATGAATATGCAGCAGCGACATGTCAGCAGTTTCCACTCACGGCTAGCGTTGTTGAGTGAGCAGTTATCAACAACATCAACTGCATCGGTTTGTGCTGCCTTCCTCTTTTTATTGATGAGGAAGGTCTTGTGCAAACTTTTACCTTGCAGCACTGTGTTCATTTTGTTCTCTCACTGTTTTTTTGTTTTGTTTCCCCCTTGATCCTTCACTGCCAAGGCCAAAATTATTCATACACCAAGGAGATTCACATACGATGTAACGAATATTGATGGTATTGTTAAGAATCTTGATTTAGTCTTTTTTAACGCCAGCCCCACTGGGCGAAAAACACCGTCAAGTCGTAATGTTACCACCAATGCTTGACCATAGAGGTTGTGCTCTTTGGGTCACATTTAATTTATTTTATTTTTACGCCATGTGAAGGACTGCATCATTGAGGCCAAACAAATCTGTATTCGTTTCATTTGGCTACTGAACAGAAGGTCAGAAGTCTTCTGAAGACTAAAAGACAAAGTTTTCATTTGCTATCAAACAATAACAACATTGCAATTTATAGCAGTAACTTTCCAAGAGGATTTGCACCGGCGGTTCTGTCTGCGCCGAATGCCTGCGACTTGTTACTCTTGCATCTATTACTTTGTAGTTTTTGCAAATGTCTTCTCCATCTCAAAATGACAAAAAAAGAAAAGGTCAAATCGAGTTTGATCATGCTCATAAGACAGCGCAGCTGCACATAAAGCAGGGTGGAGGCGCCTAAAACTCAGCTGCCAGCTGATGTCTGCGCAAAAGTATCCCTTCCTGTTTTTGCTGCACAGTCAGAAACACCTGCTGAAAACAATAATTCAGAATAAATTTTCATGCCCAAGAGAGCCAATGTGACCCATGTTTTATTGTCGCAGCTCGCTGAGCTGCAAATTTTGAAGGCATCAGATTGGAATAAAGTTTAATTAAAAATATTTCAGAGCTTTTTGTCACCAACTTGTGAAACTTGTCGAGGAATGTACAACAAAAGAACGTCTTTGTAGATGCCTAAGTTTAAAGACAAACATTTATTCGGTGTCTATAAAAAACAAAGACTTAAAAAAGTGACTTTTTGATGTTTGGTTTTGAAGCTCCTGAACAACATCTGGACGTGTGGCTCGCTGCTGGCCCCGACTTCAGATCCATGAGAGTCTACTGGAACGTAAGTGTTGAAAACGACCTGTTTTCTAAATATGTTTTATTATTAGTAGTAGTATTTTAAAATGGTGGAGGTAAGTCATTGAGCTCCTTAAAAAGCACAGCACAGTCCATTGCAGCTCGACAAGAAAAACTAAAAATCTCAGCCTCAGAAAGGAAGTTTGGTTGACCCAGTTCTGGGGTCAACGAGTTGTTTCAGGCAGAAAAACACACACACACAACTTTATTGCTGATTATTGAGATGAACATAGAGCACTAAGCCAATACCAGGAAGCACAGCGCTGTTTTCTATAAATAAATATAAAATATTTTGGCATACGTGTATTTAGAATCATCTCAAAATGTGTATATTCGTCTCTGCATTTCGGTTTATGTCGGCTTTCATTGATTGACTGAATTCATATGTGATGTGTTTTATATCAAGGAGATATATGGCTTTAATTGGTGGTTTTTACTAATGGGATCAGCGAAGAGCAATGGTAATGTTTAATTATTTTTCTAATAATAATAGGTCCCCAAACAATGGAGTTTAACCTTTAAAAGTTTCTCATGAGAATATGTAAAAAAAATAATAATAATTGTCTTGATTAGGTATATTTATTTTACTACTGTCTGCTACTTCATAAAACTTTCTGAATCTGAAGCGTGTGTGCTTTCTAGATGAGGATGCATAAAAAGTCACTGGAGCCTCATGAGTTTGAGGATTCTCACATCTCCATTGTTCTCACACTGCTGCATGATCACGGTGTTGTAACTATAGTAAGACTTTCTTTCTGCTTCCCTGCTTTGTTCTGCACAGACTAAAGGTCAAACCCTGACCACATCTTGTGACATCCTCACACTCACACACACACAGAGAGAGAGATGAACGGCCTTTAGCCAAATACATTTAAAACACACACACCTAGACTGTTTTAATGTCACACACACACACACACACACACACACACACACACACACACACACACACACACACACACACACACACACACTCAGGGGCAACTGAAACCTGACAGTACACGCACCGCAGTTTCAATTTACAAGAAAAAGAGGAGCTGAACAGAAATGATGTGTCTTACACACTCATCTTGCGGTTCGGCTGTAAATCCTTGGCGACAGTAATCACTCACAAAGAGGCAAAGAAAGCGTTCACCTGCAGAGCTACAGTTAACCTTTTCCCAACGTTTCAGGAGTCCAACATGTCCGTCTGCAGAGGGAGCATCGTGCAGTACGCCATCACAGTGAGCAGCAACAACCTGACGGTCGTCACGAACGTCAGCGCTGACGCGAGGAACCGCTCGGTCCCGTTCTGCTCCCGCTGCGAAGTGACGGTGCAGGCCGTGAACTCTAAAGGCTCGTCGCCTCCTGCAACCATGACAACGCGCCACACCTCAGGTAAAAACCATGAACACCTTGTCTGATCTTCATCTGATGGTTCTGAAACTGGAGATTCACTTTCATCACATACATACATACGTGTGCGTGTGTTTTTAGCCAAGCCGATTCTTGATGTTCAAGTAACTCCGGGGAACCACACTGTCGCCATCTCCTGGAGAAAAGCTGAAACTGCACCCGCCTACTCCGTGGTGGAGTGGTACCCTGAGGGGCACGTGTTGGACGAGCTCAGATGGGCCAGACTGGATGGGAATGAAAACTTCCTCACCGTCACGGGTAAGAAGTTAGAGCCAAGTTGCAAAAATCACATCGGTTGGGTTCAGGCATCATTCTGGCTGGACACTTCCAGAATAGTAAAAAGCTTGATGTAATCCACAAACTTTTTAATGAACTCCGGGTCCAAAATGTTAATGTTGGCCTGCCTTCTCCTGTGTTTGGAATAAATGTCCTGCTGTTACACCCAGCTGATGTTTTAACCATCTAAATGTTGCTTTGAATCAGTGGTGTCTTTGTATGACCGTTAAAATTATTTTCTTATTTCATCGTATCTGCTCTATCGTGAACTAAATGTGCAATAATTTCATGAAACAAACAAAAGAGACTTTTGTACAAGAAGGAAATCATTGCAGAGCCAAAGCATAGAAAGAGTGTTGCTGTTAAAACCAACTGTTGGCATACTGTTTCCTAATTTTGGGAGGTTGAACTTAGGCTATTTCTTTCAAGATTGAGATATAATTTTTTTAATTTGTAGATATTAATCCATGGGAGTGCTATGAAGGAGCGGTGTACGTTTTCTACAACCAGAGCTCCGTCAGCAGGACCAGCTTTAAACGGATCGCCGCGTTGGAAGCAGGTAGGGTTCAACGGCATAACCTCTGCTTTTAAAATCTCAGTCGAAATGGTCACACATACTTCGTGTCGGTAATTTTGACCTAATCGACGTCGCTGCGCGGCTCTGCCGTGTTGCCTGCAGCTCCGGAAACGGGTCCGTCGGCCCAAGAAAAGGTGGAGGGAAATACGGTGACGGTGTCTTGGACGCAGCTGCGCAGGGCGCAGCGCAGGGGATGCATCACAAAGTTCACCATCTACCTGCAGAACAGCCAAGGAGTCCAGAAGCTTTGTAAGAACATTTTAACTGTGAAGTCTCACTGCCGCGCCGCATTGTGCCATTTTACTCGATTTGTCTCACTTGATGCTCATGACGAAAGGAGATGCAGCTATCCAGTAAATACTTGCATCTCGTTTTGCCATGTGAAGAGGATGTGGTTAGGGGTTAAAACACTGTGGTGCCAAAGCTTGTCAGAACGCAGCTGCCAGCCGTGTTTATTTAATAACTGCTTCCTATTCATGGTTACTAGAATATTAAGTCATTTTAACTTTCTTAAGTCTGCCAGGCAGGGAAATGTTACTAAAATAAGATTTGAGCACTCAGCTGCAGGAAAAACTAAAACTAAATGTTGGTTTGTGGCTGACAGACGCATGAGTAGTTTCAAGGCGACCGTCTCCTTTTGTCCCGACCAGACTCGGCGGCAGCGTCACAGAGGTCGTATCCCATCCAAGGTCTCTCTCCTGATTCCTACAGTTTGTGGATGAGCGCTTCCACTTCGAAAGGAGAAGGTCCTCCCGGTCAGAAGATCAAGTTCTACATCGAGGGTACGCAGATTTTCACATTCACCGGCGCTCCTTGTGAAGACGTGCGACACGTTACGATAAATTAAGGCTTTTATTGCATTGACATAGTCGTGCACTGAAAACTTTGAGCGTCTTCGTGTCTGCCATTTGCATCGCCCGATCATTGAACCGGCTGCGGTGGCAGTTTTGACCCTTCTTGCTGATTTGTGACACTTCATCCTGCTGCTGTTGCAGAAGACGACCATCTCTCCCCAGTGCTGATGTGTGTGTTCATCTCCGTGATGGTGCTGTTTGCTCTGTGTCTGTGGAAGAGCTCAGCAGTCAAGCATAGGTATGTATGTTTGTGACCCCCTGGGGTTCAGCAGCACCACACAATGCAGGTTGAGTAATTGGCGTAGCAGTAGATTCAAGTTTTTCCTTTAATCTGCTTAAAACTAAACAACAGTATGGAGTGAAATCTGCAGATGAACCAAAGAGAAACTAGTCAATAAGTATCTATATCAACTGATGTGAAATGCTTATGCTGTGATGTTTTTCAGCCATTTTGTCAGCTCTAGGTTTATCCAAAGACTTTCAATGAAATTCCAGTCAGCACTCTGGAAAGGTCTCTCCAAAACCTTCAAATTAGCCGGATGTAAAGAATACTTTCTAAAACTAGAGTTATGATTAATTTCAGGCTTCATTGCATGAATGACTTTCGAGAACTGCTGGTTAACAGTTCTCCATATCTCAGGTTCAAAGACATTTTCCAGTGTCTGATGCCTGATGTTGTGCCAGATCCTGCAAACAGCAAGTGGGCAAGAGAGTGCACCAAAGAGAAGGTAAAAATGTGGACAGACTTTAACAGATTAACCACTGGTGGAACCCGCCTCAGTTCCGATTTGACCCTCTTCGTCGTCCTCCTCTTCGTTCAGGGCAAGATGGACCTGCATCTCCCGTCTCACAACTCCAGTTTCACTGACCCAGAAGAAGAGACCATCCTGGTGGACGTGGAGGAGCTCTGCAGGCGGATGGAGGACTTCTCCTCGCCCAGGAGCGACGGCGTGGCGTTCCCTCCCGAGAGCGGCGCGGGCCAAGAGACCGAGCTGTCGGCTCTGCTCTACCCTCCTCTGACCACCTACATCAAAAGCCTCTCGCACGACTCGGACAGCTCCGGCCACACGCAGACCTCCCTGGACACGACCGTCGACTACATCTCGTCCCACGGGCAGGACAATCTGGACAACTCGGACCAGGAGGAGGAGGAGGAGTTTCCCGGGATGCAGTTTTTCCCCAGCCTCAGCATGCTCATGGAGCCCGTGGGGTTTGGAGGGAAGCTGACCTTGGACGCGGTGAAAATCGACTGCGGCGACTTCTTTCAGAACGCTTAGAGCGACCCGCCCAGCCTCTCCGAATTGAACTCTCGTCCATGATGTGCATGAACTACCTCCGTTGCTTTTAGAAATCACAAAGAACTGCCAAGCTTCAGTTCAGCAGAAATCCTCTCTGGCATTACAATTGTTTTCCAATGGCACGTCTATGGACACACTAAGCAGAACTAAAAGGAAGAGACAAGAGGGATTTTACTAAGATTTAATCTCTAAAAGGCAGATTGGACTTCTCTTTGTAGGAGGACGGTATCGTAACGGCATCATCGTCTGTCATGAACTTTAGGATCTACGCCTATTCTTCCTGTTTCACCCGCAGATGTCTTCTGTTTAAAAAAGGCTACATGTTTTGTTTTTTTTGTTTTTTTAAATACTGCTGTTCATTAATTGCTACGCTCTTCATTCTACCTCAATGTGGATGCAAATTTGATCAAATTAAAACCGTTTGATTTGTCAGACTAAAATCATTGAGCACAGTGAAACTTTCAGTTTCAGAGCCAAATATAGAGCACACACACACACACACACACACACACACACACACACACACACACACACATACTGCAAAAACAAAAGTATTTTTGGTCTTGTTTCTACTGCAAATATCTTGAATACACGTGAAATAAAACAGAATTAAAGCACAGATGTGCTGAAAAGCTACTTTTTAACGGCTTGTTTTAAGTTAATACTGAAAAGGAAAGTTAATTACCTCAGTAATAGCTAGTGCTTTTCCATTACTATTAGGACTCATATCAACATAAAAAACGTGCATTTGGGCAACTGAGATCAGTTTGACCAAAGCCTTTTGAGTCATTACATTCTTCTTAGTAGACAAAAACTCCAGTTTATTCGCCACTATACGCGCAAAAGTACCCTAAAAGTGAAACTAGAGTAGAAAACTGTTTTGTTTTTACGACGCATCAATGCTCTGTCAGGAATTAATGTGCCGCATCCACACTTCATGATCTCTTCATGCCTAGTTTACTACTTATGACGGCAGCTTGACACTGAGACACAAACGGCCCACACGTTTCCCACTGCAGAAAAAAATGTGACACAACTCGAGAAGGCAGTTCTACCCATTGGACCTGATTTCAACGCCTCTCAACAAGAAATACCTGTTAAGGTGATTTTAACTGAAACTGAGTCAACAACAGCGTCGCAGAGGAAGAGTAACTGTTACAACTCTCTCTCCAGGTCTAAACTTCCTCCTCCGAAGCTCAAATTGTAGGAAAGGAATGAAGTATTCTTTGAAATTGACCTCACACTCTTGCCAATACCAAGTGTAATGCAGTCAAAACGAATCACTTGTTGGCATTTTAAGTGACAACGACCCAAACATGTAGGTTCAGTGACTCATGCTGCTCATTCTTGTAAGTTACAGACGTGATGTTTCCATGTTTGGAACTGAAAAAGCCTTCAGAATGGAAGGTGAAACGTCTCAAGACATGAAGTCCCTCACGCCCTCCGCAATCGCTATGTCACCGAGAACAGAACTGGAAAAACTAGAGAAATGCTCCGACGTTAAGGTTGTAAAAGTGCAGCATTGTGACACTTATCCTCAGTTAAATGTTTCTCACCACAGCAATGTTGATCAGCACTGGGCAAGACTTTAAAACAAGCTTACGGGGGCGGTTGTCCAGGGCTCCAAGTTTGGGGGGCCCAAAGACATTTTTTTGTTGTAATGAATGCAAAAAAAAAAAAAACTTATATAAAACTTGCATTGGAATAAGTTATATGTAAAACTTACATAGATTATTGTAAACTTATAGGCCTACATCAAGTGAAATGTATTTTTATTAATATAAACAAAACTCAACTATTTGAAATCTAAGAAGTTATGGTAATTTTGGGGGGAACAACATGGAGCTAGTGAACAGGCAGACTTATTAAACCTACCATGCAACAACTCATGTCTAGTAGGATTGTAATAATCATCAGTAGAAAAAGTCTCTGTGGTGAAAAGGGGTCCAAAAACTGGTTCCAGCCCAGGGGCCCCAGGTCGGCATTTCAAACTGATCTGAGCAAAAACAGCGAAAGTTTTGATAACTTGATTTGAAGACGCTGGACAAATACCATGTAAATATTTCACTTTTTTCAACTAATATGTCAGATGTGCTGATAATACATTTTATTTCTGGAAATCATTCAAGGTTTTATCACAAAGCGGTTCTGTTCAGTGAAATTGAAACTCAATATATTAAATACTATTTTGTCCAAATTAAAGGGAAGAAACTCTGGAAAACAAAGTTTGATTTTGAATTCTTATACTTTAAATCTTAAAAAAACAAATAAAAAAAACAAACAGAAGGTGCAGTAAGCCAGGTCTGGACATTTGCAACCCCTGATGACAACAGGACAAGAAAACGCTTTTTGTTGACCACCTTTATTTACCGACAGAGGTCTAATAGCAGGGCTGGAATTCACACATTTGTAGAGCAATTCAGTTGTTCCACACTATGGACAACTGTATTTCTTTCAGAGCAATTATGCAGTGGTGCCATCGTGGAAGCTACAGAGCAGGTCACCAGCAGAGGAAAAACATTCAGCACAGACCGAAAGACACCCGAGCAGAGTTTACGTCTGCGGAAGGACGTAGAGTGTGTAAACCAGGTTTTCCGGCGGTCTCCGGTCACATCTCAGCTGTTGGGGAGGAAAAGGAAAGAAACGCCTCTCCTCGTCACTAAGAAGAAGGCAGCAACTGACTCGCACGTGGCTGACGATGACCTAAGATGAAATGAGCGTGGGAGGAAGAAACGTCTGAAGATCCTTCCGATGCCAGCAAATCCGAAACGCGTGGACAACAGTCCGGTATTCCACTGAACCGAACCGGGATTCAAATTTGGGACACGTTTCCAATGTGTTCCACAAAAAAAAAAAAGAAAAGAAAAAAAAAAGACAAGCTTTTAAGAACATTTCAGTAAAAAAAATGAAAAGTCCAGATTGCGTGCCTTTCCACGTACATTTCCAATGTGGGCAGCATCTCTTTGAAATACCAGTGTTTTTCTTTTTCGTGTGCACCATGTGAAATACAGTCTCTGAAAGAATTTATGAAAATAGTTTATGAAGATCATATAAGAATAGACCTCCTCTATAAAATATAAAACAATATCTCCGTGCTAAAGTAAGGGGGGGATCCATAAATCTCAATGAGTGGAGCTGTAACTTCTGAAACAGCCAGGTGAGGCGGAGCTCGCGTTGGAGCTCCGGCGGCGCCCGCTTTAAAGCAAACAAGCAACAGCACTCACCGCGCCAAAGGATATTCTTACGCTTACATTTCAAAATGCATATTTTCAAGCAGCAATTACAAAACTTTATTAATGGACAATGCATAACCTCTGAAAAAAATACTGTATGAAAACATCCCTGCTACTTTGTTTCAAAGTACAAAACCTCTACCAATAAGTTGCTCCAGAGTAGCAAGAAGTCCTTTTGTTTTTATGTGTTTTTTTTGTTAATTTCTTTTTGTTTTTTTTTCCATCTTTGTTTTGTTTTTATTGAATAAAACTCAGTCCTCACAGAGTGTCATAGCTATGACAGTCTTCGCCATCATTTGACTTTGCTGAAGGATCCAGGAACATGCAAGCCTCGTAGTGGAGGTGCTCAGGAGGCTCCTGAAGGCCTGAGGGGGTTTGACAGCCGCAGCTTAAGCCAGGGCTGGGAAAGCCTCGGGGTCGTCCACGTTCGGCACAGACGTAGATGACTGCGGGCGAGAGCGAACGGAGAACACGTTTAGGGTGGGAATTCACTAAATGGCTAACGAGCAGCAGCTTCGCTCCAGGTTATTTACCCTGTCAGTCCTTCCTCCACGTGCCGGCCTGGTGGGCTCGCCGCGCTCGCCACGATCCCCTCCGCGCCCGCGGCCTCCCCGGGCGCCGCGGGGCCCTCCGCGCCCGCGGCCAGGACGGCCGAGGTCTCCGAAGTTTATCTCCAGCTGGGACGTGATGTCGTTGGCTGGTTTCCGGAAGTGGTGCTCCTCGTCGCCCTGAATCACACAAACAAAACCAACAAAGAGGGATTTGTTAATTAGAAGCGTGCTTGCGCAGCCCCACAGCCGTCTGCCTGCAGGTGTAGATTGAGCCGCTGCATGCGACGGGTGACATTTTACCTTGGAATCATCGATGTCAATCTCAGTCAGATCAGCTTTCTTGTCCTGTGTTAAGAGAAGTTCAGAACAAAAGCAGCACGTCAGAAAAACACACATAAGCGTCTCCTAAAATGTTGAGACATTTGACAGCTAGTCTGACTAATATGTACAGCGACAGAGCATTACGGAGGCATATTCATTGTATTATTTACCATGATAAATTTATTAGTGATCAGATCTCTGATTTATTGTCATAAATTTCAATTAATGTTTAAAACTCCCCAAAACATTCAGCATTGTTAGGCCTGTTAGTCTTACTATTTTTTCCAGTTTGTTCAATAAATGTGGAAAATATGAGTATATGTAATTACTTTGTGCAGTTTAGTGATACAAATCACACTTTTTTATGAGTCTGGTATCCCATCACGAAAGCGAACGCTTTTCAAGAACATTATTTGTGCTTGTGAGGAAATGATTGCTGTCAGTTGCCTACAAGGATAACAATCAGCAGTCTTGCTCCAGATTATTCACCCTGTCAGTCCTTCCTCTGCGTGATGCCTGATGATCTCGCCGCGTTCCCCGCGCCCAAGTTCTTATCGTCGCTGTTACCGTTATCAAAATATTGTGAGAAAACCACGTTTCTGTCACCCTACCCTACAATAAACTCTTCTTTCTGCTACACACTTTGGCATTTTGAGATTTTCCTGAAGCCCAAATTTCACCTGCTCTCATCTATTTGGCAGCACTGATAAACTAATAAACCATCTAATGTCAGCTAGAAACAGTGAATGGATATAATCCTGTTCACTTCTAAGAATGTTTTATAAAAACTATTACATTTTTTGAGCATTAAGCTAAAAATAAATAGTAAATATAACCTAACTACAGCGCTGAGAAGCAGCATTGTGTTTAGTTTCCAGTCAAATGAATTGGATCATGTTTGCAGTTTGGTTTTCAAGTCGTGCCAGGATGCTAATAGCGACTTCAGAAACACATCTAAACAGTATTTCCCTGTGTTAAAACGTGAGGTGGGGCTTTAGGAGCTTTGGGAAACGCCTCACCTCGGCCTTGGACTTGTGCAGCACAAATCCTTTGTTCCAGTCAGCGCCCTCGTTGGCCTTGCGGATGTTGAACTCGACCTTGGCCCGCTCTTTGTCCTGCATGGCCTTCCATTCGTCCAGAGTCATCTCCTTAGGACCTTCTTCCTTCTGTTCTTCAACCTCATTCTCCCTTCAACACACACAAACGCAAAGACATGTTAGCATGGGCGTGTTTAGCATCAGTATCTTCAGCTCCTTGTTGTCTTTCTTCATCGGAACAAAACCTTACTTGTTCTCAGAGTCGGCGGGTGGATGCTCCTCTCCTTCTGGGTTCTCCTCGGTGGCGTTAGGCTGGTCGAGCTCACTGTGGGGAAAACAGACAAAAAAAACTCAATATCCTGCATTGTTATGGCGCCGACTTCCTTAGAAACATGTAAAGTTTTTGTATCTGACTTTTGAAAGCACTCACTTCAGTTCATCTTTAACTGTGCCCCAGTTGTGAGATCCACTCCCACCACGCTTGTCCTCACCTTTCAGACTACTGGAGAGGGAAAGAAAACCCCCCCGAAACATCAATCGTGATAAAAACACACGCGCAACATGAGCGCAAACATCTTGAGCGCAATTGATTCGGGTTTAATTCAGACCATGAAGGGGCTTAAAGGATCACTTACGATCGGTCGCTGCCACTGTGTCTGTCAAATTCCCGCTTTCCTCTGGAGTCAAATCCGTCGCTGCGGCCCATGCCGCGGCCTCTTCCGCCGCGACCTCCCCTGCCGCCGCCACGACCCCTCATTGGCCTATCACCGACGGGCCTAAGGAAGAGAAAAAAAAATAATAATCAACCATTTTCAGAGAAAGCAAGTAATTATGGAGTTTTGTATTTAAACTTGCCCTCAATATTTAGTTTTGTGGAAAGAAATGACATTTTGTTGCTTACCGGCTACAGATTTAAGTTTTCTAAATGTTCATGTCGTTCCATGTCTTATCTCAACAGGAATAATTTTAAACGATGAATTATGTTGGACTCCGAGATCTTTAATAAATATCCAGCAGTTCATGAGCTAAATGTTAAGATCTTTTTTTATGTCTTTACTAACTACTTTGTGCAAACAAATAAAAAAGAAACATAGATGAAACTATTTAAGCATTTCCTCTCTGACAAATTTTGGTTTTTACTAAGATATGATTTGAAGATTTTTTTTTTTCTGAGAGAGATAAAGCCAATTCCTTTTTAGAAGCTGTAGTTATAAAACCAACAAAAAATCTAAGAAATACAAGATTAAACCCATTTATGCACATTTCACATATATCGCATGCATTTTAAAATGACATTGGTTGTGTAAATATGAATAACATTGGATAAATTTATATGAGACAATTGGGGGCAGGATTTAATAAGCTCCATTTCTAACTGGATATGAAAATGTTATCCATGCTTATTATTACACAATTTTTTGATTTCTCTGACATTTTCCTGTTCAAAATAAGAATAAAGACAGCTAATAAAAGTTTTATGGAATTAGCTTAAAAGAAATAATAATAATAAAAAAATAATCTAACTGAAGTATTGGTTTTGGACTCCCTCTAGTTACGGTTCATGTGCCAGGTTGGTATGTTATCAGTCCAAACTCACTTCTCCACGGAGAACTCGCCACCTTCGGGTTTCTCTACGGCTTCGCCGGCAGGCCGCTCGAAGCGGCGGGGCGGCCGCCTGTCCACAGGCCGTCTGTCTGCGGGGGGTCGTCCGTCTCCCTGACCGCCCTGAGGTCTGGAGCCTTCGCCCTCTGGTTTTCTACCCATTCTCCTCATGCCAGCACCTAGGAATTGAAATAATCATTAAAAAGATTTTTTTTTTAAGTGATTAGGTGACCTGCAGCGTTGCTGGATCCACACCCAATGCTGAAGAAAAGGAAACAACATTGTTCTGCACAAGTGGAGCAAATAATTGCAATTAATGTGCTCAATAAAGTCGAGGAGAGGCAGACCGGGGTGGGGTTGTTATTAGAGATTCAGGATTTCTCCGAAAGGTTATTTCTCAGCCCTAACGCGAGTTTCATAATTTACTGTTAATTTGTGATAAAGCTACCTAGCCAGATCTACTGGGATTACTGTGACCCAGTTATTTTTTTCCCCTTACTTGAGTCAGAGCCACCAGCCCAGTGTAACACAAGTCCCTCCCATTGACTAAATCGCCTGATCCAGAAATAGATCAGCTCCACTACACCACAGCGGCAGCTGGCGGAACCACCATCAATGCACCTGTCTCATCCTCTCTCTCAGGCAGATAAATATGATCCTACTTGTCAGCTCAATTACACATAAAAAAAAAAAAAATAAAATCTGATTCAGTCTGTTTTCACCTAGAAGTCACGACTTACTTTGAGCGCTGCGCAAAAACCGGGTGATGCAAGAAAAAAAAAAAACGATTAATCGTGTACGTATGCGATTTGTCGCGAATCGACCGCGTGCGGAGTGTTTATTGTGCGCCAATAGGAAGTAAGAGTGTGGACGCTGTGCCTCAACACGCCCTGCAGCCACGAGGTTCAGCTCGGCCGGAGCGGACAGAAATCCGCCAAAACAAAAACCCGAACTGAAGCTCACTCCTATCTTCTACACACGTGTTTCCCTCCTCTCACGTGTTCCAGAGATGTTTTAAAATTTTCTTTTCGCAAATTTTAAGCTTTAACCAACAATTGTTCGGCTTTTAACTGATTCTGGATAAGCGGAGCAACAAGTAGTTTGGCTTCGAGTGGCTCCTGGGCAGAGCTAACGATTTAACTGAAGCATGCTGTTAGTTAGGCTCTGTGCTCAACCAGGCCCTTTGGGGGTGTAAGGCTAAAACTAGCTGGGCCGCAAACTGTTTATCTTCGTACCGCAGCAACCTCGCGTCCCCGGTCGTAAATTATGCTCGGCTAAAAGTCGTTGTTCGTGCAAATGTCATTTATCTTAAGGCACTAAAACAGCGGGTAAGTCGACCGCATGTCACCGAGCCCGGTTGTAACGGCTAGCTGGTAACCGAGCAACTTAGCCTGTTAGCTTAAAATTTTAGGCTGCTCTTTTGGCTAATTGGAGCCCAAAACGTGCGTTAAATATTACCATCTTTCTTAAGTGGAACTGGAGCCTGGGTTTCCTCCTTCTTATCAGCCAGCGGGGCCTTTCTGTCTTTTTGGGACTCCTTCTTGGGCTGCTTGGCAGCCTGCGCTGCAGTCTTGGCGGCACCAGGGGCTGCAGCCTCCTTCTTCTTAACTTCGGCTTGCTTCAGCAGCTCGAACGGATCCGACTCGTCGTCAAATAACTGGTCGAACCGATTGGTTATGGCACAGCCAAAACCGTCTTGCATTTGTCCGGGCATGATGGCGCCCCTTCAGCAGGATTTTCCTCCGATTCTACGAGGCTTGGTGCGAGCACTTCGCTAGATGAAGCCACAAGATGGCTGGGAAAGGACCTTCTTCTCTTCCGGCACGGTAGACATCCGGGGCCTCGGAGTTTGCGCGGGTGGGTTGTGTAGTTTCTGTGGAAACCCGTAGTCATGAAAGCAGCTGGGGAGTGGCTGAAAGAAAAAACTCAATTACCCAGAATGCAAATGCTTTGACTCGCTTTGCAAAGGAAAGCATGGTTGCCCCGGTCTGCACTCTGTTGTTGTTTTGACTTTTAGGAAAGAACTATATAGTTGTCTGGAGTGGTTTTCTCAGCAGTTTGTCGAATTTAACACTTACATTAGCAGACAGCCTGCTAGTTCTTTAATATAACTGAAGACCACAGAGGAAGAAATATCTTCATATTAGGGGTTAATCTGTTTTTTTTAAAGGACAGGAAATTAGTGCTGCAAGCTAAAATTATTTCACTATTGTTTGGCTAAGCTATTGCTTTTGGCAGTCATTTTAACCCTACAGCGGTGCATACGTTACATTTGGCAATTACAGAATCAAGAATTAACTTTTTTTATTATTCTAGAAATATGTATTTCTTCACTGTCATTTTTTTTATTGGTGTGGATCTTTACTTATTTTGTAGAATATGTTTACCCTCAATTGAGGTTTGAGGGGGAAAAAAGTTCAAAAGGTTAAAAATGTTTTTCATAAAAATTTGCCAAAAATATTCAGTAATTTATTTATGTTGAAACTGCATCTCACACAACAGCAAAACACAGGGGAAAAATTGAAAGTCCAAAGTTCCACATATAGAATTTTTTTTTAACAACACACAGACTACAACTATCAGTACCCCAATTTTTCAAATATATTTTCTCCTAACATTTGATAAGGTTACAGAATAAATTGAAAGAAAGAGGTTTTCTACTGGATTCTGATCTCTGATCTGGTAAGGTGGTCTAGTGAGTAAATTCTGCTGATCTGCCCATATGTTTGGTGAATAATTCTACTAAAGGACCCAGTGATGACCTATCAGGCCCACAGCATCCCAAGTTCTCCATGGGACAGCAAAACCATTTGGAGTATTTGTGGTCAACAAGTTAAATCTTATCGTTTCATCTGACCAAAGCACAAGGTCCTAGTCAAAGTTTCAGATGAACAAACTCCACACTTAAATTTGTGATGGTATGACCAAAAAAAAACTTCTTTCATCACTTTCAAACAATTGGTTCCCATTATGCAAACGAGCAGAGACAAAATCTGTCCATCTTTACTGCACTTCCCTGTAAAAACCTCCACTGTGATCATCGTTCCCCGTTGAGAAGATTAACAGTTTAAAACTTTTAAATTATTACTCTGATTATAGGTTTGGTCAGCATGAAGGAAGCCGCTTTCCCATGTCTCCATTTTAAGATCGGCACACATTGCTTGAATGGCATGTTCTCTCGTCTTTCCAGTATTGATCAGTGGCTGTGTGAAATTGTCACACAAAGTCATACAGTGACGTAAGAGGATTTACAACCCCGTGAAAATGTCTCACTTCAGAAATTGGCGGGCCTATACAGTAGCATTACAATGAAACGTAAATTGAAAATGAAAAAGAAAAAGTGTTCTTATTTGTACTTTGAAAGCAGACTTTCTCTTGTTTATAAGGCCCGGCCCCCTTTATTCATGATCACGACGATGACCCGCCGAGCCTCTTCTGAGCACAATCAGTGCTCCCGCTCTCCATAAGGAAAACAAAATGACGTCTCTAGTCACTAAAGCTATGATAGAGTCCTATGCGCTCATGGTGATGGTCATGGGCACATTTTTTGTCTACTTCTGCGGAATGGTGTGGGCGTTTTGCAACCCCAAGTTGAGCGAAGCGGAGGAGGAGGAAGAGTGCGCTGCGGGAAACCGGGCCGGGGACCCGAGGGAGCGCCGCTGGATGTGCGCGCCGGGCTCCCCGCAGCGGGACGCCCGGCGCGCCGCCGGGCTTCTGCAAGTGGCCGCGCCGCCGTACACCGCGGAGACGCTCACACAGAGCACATATGTCAACTTCTGGGAGGATGACGACGATGACAACGATGATGATGATAATGATGACAATGAAAGTCTGCTGTCGGACAGCGCTGCGTTTTGTCTGGATAATTTGGGGATTGACAACCAGATTACAAACAGTCCCTCCTGGATTGAGATGCGATGAGTGGACGCCAACTTCTTAGAAAATTGGTAATATTCTTATGTTGTTTTTCTTATAATCTGCTCCATATTTAAGTGGATGCGTTGTTTTCTTGGTTGAGCTATTTTACAAAACAGTGAGTCGTACCCAAAACTACCTGCAGGCAATTGCAGCAAAGTTACCAACCAAGAGTAGCTAAATAGAAATGTTGGCCACATTTCTGAATTGTTTGGTTGTTTCGATAACCATTGATCCTTCCCTCTTCCCCACTTCACAATTATCTAACACTTTTGTCCAATATATAAAATCCCAATGAAATATACGTCAAAGTTTGAGGTTGCATTGGAAATGCAGATAAATTCAAGGGGTGTGATCATCCAGGTCCTTCAGGTCTTCAGGGTTTCTGCCAGTTTCTTCCTCGTGTCACTTTCAAGTTGAAGTAATTTGATATATAATGACTCTGATGTCTCAAACGTAATGTCCATCTGCAAATGGGAAAGTACCACATGGCATTTAGCTGTTTTAAACAGATTGTTTTTTAACATAATTCACATAAATAATAATAATAATAAAAACATCTACAGTTACTTGCTGCACCTTATGTGGTTGGATGTAGTTGTTTCCAAGCCCTGATGTCAGGCTGTGGTATTTAGCATAAGGGTCCAGAGATTCAGGCTTTTGCCTAAATAGCCAAAGCTGCCAAGAAGGGTAGAAATCAGAACATGAATTTGTGCAGAGCTGTTTTTTTGTTTTGTAAGTGATAACATTTTTGTTTCACCCACCAAAGCTTCAGATCCATTATAAGGTGTCAGGGTAAAAGTGTTGGTGAACACCCTGATCTGTTGGCAGAAGAAGGAGATGTCTGTCGTTATAGAATTAAAAAAACACACAAAAAAAAGCATGAAGGTTTTTTGTGTTGTTCTCGCACTTCATGAAGCTGAACCCACCAGCCAAAAGACGGGCATGAGCAGGGCCCACAGAAAGGCCGGAAACGATGGGAGAATGCCAAAGGTCAGGTTTGTCATCACAAATCCAGGAGAGACGACAGATGAGTACAAACCCTAAAGCAAAGACCGGTATCGATTACTTTTGTTAGCATTAAGTGGCGTTAAATACGTGTTTCTTTTTTGTTTTTCTAACCTGCTTGTTGTAGTGCTGATTGAGAGACAGGCTGAGCAGGTCTGTGGCGTATTTGGAGGAGCTGTAAGGCTGAGTTCCTCTCCGGTGCTGTATGTCTTCGAGACTGAAGGCGGACCGGTTAGCGTTGCTAGAGGAGGTCCAAATCAGCTGCGAGGTTCGTCCGTCTTGGCACAGAACCGGCTCCAGTTCCCTAATCTGGGTCAAAACAAAGAATCAATTCTGCATGCGCATCCCCAAAAACTTCAGAATCCAAACTAGGAACTCAAATTTATCTTTATGAACTTTTTATTAAGCTCAAAAAGCACCTTTTTGAGCTTAATAAACACTGGATAAATATTAGAGATATATGCTTTAGTGTATGTGCATAAATAAAAATACCACCTCTATCAAAGAATACTGTTAGCTATTAAAAGTAGCAATCTGTAAAAATGATAAAAGAAAACCGTAAATTAGTATCGTCCTGAAAAACTCTGATTTGGGCTTCGTCTTTGATCAGTTCAGCCTTACAGGGTAAAAAAAAAAAAAACAGAAGCAAATAGAGCTGAATAACGTCTGCCGTGACCTTAGGCTCTCAATGTACTGTTAATTTTTAATGAGGACAGTTGCTAAGTGACTAACGGATTCGGTGTCAGCCTTGCTTCTTTCCATCAAGGACACACAGGCTGCCTGCAGAAAACCAGACTTGCTGAACAAACCTTTTATTCTTTTTATAATTTAGGAGTCGAAACACCCCGCAGCGGCGGCTTACGAGAAGGAAGTGACCAAAGAGGTTGGTGGCAAAAACTTGCTGCAAGCCGTCAGGAGTGACGCCATCTTTCTGAGTCAGAATCCCGTCACCGGTGGCAAACATAGTGATCACCTTACTGGAAGCACATATTTGACCAAACAAATGAGATGAAAGCATTGAAAACAACCACTTACTTTTCTTTAATAATTTATTTTTAAAGATAAATTTCTTCCGCAAAAGGCCTTGATACAGATTAATATTTTTTAGTTGAATTTCATTTTGTTTGTTTTTGTCTTTACTTACTGACTGAATGACTGAAATCAGTTATTTACCTGGAGAAGAGGCCTCTAAAAAAGGCCTTGGCGTCAAATTCTGGGTTTGGCATGATGCCGGCATTTAGGTAGAGGTAGTCCAGCCGATCGTACCTGAAAATGACAAAATAATAATAATACTAAAAATAATTTTATCCTGTAGTATTTTTCTGAAGTGCAGACGTAAACTTAATTTTAAAAAAAATGCTTTAAGAGGCAAAAAAAGGAAAAAAAGTCCATCCTCCCACCTGACTTTGACTTCCTGTGCCGCTCTGAGAACAGAGGAGACGCTGCTGGTGTCCATCTGCAGCAGGTCCACCAGGGCTGCCGGGTGAGAGGCGAGCAGGGCAGCGCGCGCCGCTTCAGCTCGCTGCACGTTCCTGCAGGCCAAGCAGAGGAGCAGGCCCTGCGTGTCGTGCGAGAGGAGACGCTCGCACAGCGCGAGGCCGATGCCACTGCAGGGGAACCGTTGGACTGTTTTAATATTACAGCCATACAATAGGGATGTCATAGCATAATAATAATAATATGCTCACATATGCATTGACGTTAAACGTAGAAATGAGAAAACGGTTTGTGAATAGAAATTTTCAACTTGTGGTACAGACTTAAATCCAACATTTTCCCAATAAGTGAAAGCACCACACCTGCACTTGTTCTTGAGTGAAGAAAATTCAAGGTGATCTATTTCCAGGACCAGTGGGGTGTTTAAAAAAAGAAGCCAGAGGAAGCACTGATGCTGTAGGAAGTAGTTTATGTTTTTTTTTTTCTTTTTCTCATAGTGTTTCAGATAACAGCCCTCCTGTGCTCCGTATGATGGAGCAAAATGATGCTGATCGTTTAGCTCCATCGTATCGTACCGCTGCAGTTTCGGTGGTTTCGTGCCTGGCTTTTTTTTGTGTGTGTGAAACACTGAAGGGCAAAATGGATCTTGAGCGATTCAGAAGATACATTCAGAAGATATACATTCAGAAGATATATTCAGAAGAAGATATATATTCAGACTTCATTACCATGAAGTCTGAATATATAAAGGCAAGGTTGTGCTGCTTGATCTTCTTGGGCTGTAAACCTCAGTCTGCTTGTAGCATTGTGGAAAACCCTCATCTAAGGTAAGAGATTATCTTTCTGTTAGAAATACTGAGAACAATGTCTAATGCACATATTGCAAATATGTTGAATATAGTACAACCCTGTTTCAGATTGACCACTCTGTCTCTCTCTCTCACACACACACACACACACACACACACACACACACACACACACACGCACACACACACACACACGCACACACGCACGCATGCACGCACACACACGGTGTGACGTCTCCCCTGCTCCTTATTCATGAAATTACTGACTTTTCACAGCAAGAAAGACATATTTCAGAGCTTTTATAGTACTTAAAAGAAGAAAAACTTGATATCTGAAGTTGGTCACAAAAACAAGATCTAACTAAAAACGACAACACAGTTGCTATTATCAATCTTTAATGGAACAATACTTTATTCTGCCTGAAATGATTGAACTTTTAATAGGTATCGGGAAGTATGGATGCTTCTCATAATAGAGGTTAAAGGCCGGGTTGTTACCTGTTCGCTCCAGTCACCAAAACCACTTTTCTCATCGTGGTGAAGCCAAAACCTGTAAAACGACAGGAGAACTGGAGGGAAAGGGTTGCGCGTCCGGTTCAGGAACTGGTTACCTCTTCTGTGGAGTCGCAGTTTAGCTCCGCCTCCCGTGTTCTGATTGGATCCCGTGGCAGCACTTCAGCCAATAAAGTACTTAGTACGCCTCAGCCCAGCCACAAAGGTCCCGCCCACTCCAGACAGCGAAAAACTGGATCGCAGGAGCAAAACAGAGTCCTGACCATGACAGAGTAGTGTTAGGGCTTTTATTTGGGTTTTCGCCATCAAGGTCTAACTTTTGTGTAATATATATATATATATATATATATATATATATATATATATATATATATATATAATATATATATATATATATATATATATATATATATATATATATATATATATATATACAATTTTCATACAAAAATACCCTAAAAATGAAAGTAACTAGTACTTTATTCAGATGTTTTTACATATTGTTTTTGCGCTTCTAACAATATTGAAAGGAGAATAAATGCAATGAATTGTGTATCAATTTGAACCTGAGCTTGACCTGCAAAGCAGGAAACGAATCGCAATTGTCTTTCACGGGTGAGACGACTGGGCTTGTGTTTAGCGTTAAAAGCATGAAGCAAGTACAAGTACAGAAAAAAACACTTCATTACTGGTGCATGAAGTCCAGACGCACCAGTAAAAGATGAGCTCTAAACTAATGCACTTAAAGTTGATTTTCATCAACCATGCCCTTTGCAACCATCCAAGAAAATTTGTTGTTATGGTGAAACTCCTCATTTTTTCTGCTTCAGGCGACAACAAGAAATAGCTGGACATCTAGAACCTGACTTTCCCAACTTGTGACCCTTTTCTAATGCGTCTGTAAAAAGAACGGATGGACATCCGAAGGCGTTTTCTTTTTCATGCCCTTCTTCTGCAAAATACTTCGATCAAACTTTTCTCTTTTCCCGATTGCATTGGATCCTTGCAGAAAACACTTTCTAATCACACCTGCTGCACACACACGCTTTGAATCAACACACAGCAACGACCCAGCACATAGTTCCAACAGGATTTCTTCAAAGCATGTTCAACTGCAGACAAAAGGATGTCGCAGCAGATTTCGCAACAGAAATAAAACATACACAAATCAATGAAGAAGAAATGCTGCAATGACACTCTGGTTTGAGTGCATATTCTTACGCACAACTATAAACAAGTCATAAACACAAAGTCAATATATAAATACTGATACAAAAGGAATGATACATGAAATTTAAACATGTCTATTGAAAATACACAGTCATGTACACTTGTCAACACTACTTCAGGAAAATGGCAGGGAGATGGAAACAAATACACTCATTGTTTATTTTTACTCTGCATGTATGAAGTTTTTCTGAACATAATGAAACTATTCAAATATAATCAAATATGAAAGTAACCGTTGACTCTGCACTTTCCCTGTCTACATTCAAGCAGTCTTCCAAAAGAAAAGACAAGAAAGCAGTATTTCAAACAACACTGTAACATGAGATATATGAACCACTGATTACACATTGCATTTAGACATTAACCAAACAGAAGCAGTACGGAAAGTCAGGTCTGGCCAATTGGCTGCAAATCCTATTCCACTCCAAAGCCTGTTTATTTCGCTTTAAATGGGGCCACATTTGTAAGAATAATACAAATAAAAAAATACAAGTTAAATTGTCTCTTCAGTATATTTTGTTATTGACTCCTGTTTGATGTCATCTGTTGGACTGGAGAATGAAGGTGTGAAAAAACAAAACATGTTTCCACTTTAACATGCTGGCACATCCTTGTCATGTCTTAAATTGGACGATGAGGTTATTTTGGTGATTTTGGCCTATTTATTACACCCAACCTCGTCCCACAAGCGTTCAGTGGATCTGAAGTCAGGCCTGCAGGCGGGTCAAGCCAACCTGCCTGTATCCAGACTCTGATAAACTTCTGACGACTTCGCGGTACGCTAATACTCAACCCTGCATAAATGCATAAATGCGTTTTCCTTTCGAATGTGGCACCAGTGTAGGGAACATAAACAGGTATGAGATTTTTTTTTTTTTTTGCCAAGAAAAATTCTGCAACAAAGAAAGAAATGTCCAGACACAAGTCTCCCTACTTTTAGTGTTTAGTTTTGAAAGTGCCAAATGTCTCTTGCTACATTTAAATGTTGGCCTCCTCCACACCCAGAAGCAGTCCATGCCTCTCTCTGCAAACTGTGATAAAGTACTTTGTCTAAATTTATGCTTCATAAAAATAAAACCTTTGCATTAACTGGAATACAGATCAACTTAAGAGTATTCAGTCCTCGAAAATGTATCTTGGAGCCAGCAGGTGGCCTCCCATCCTGTCTCTGTTGAATAGGAGCATAGCTTAAACCTGGACATCCTGCGGCATCCCTTCCTCCAGAGATTTGCGCAGACTCTAAAGTGTCTTAAACACTACGCAGGCTTAAGGCTGTAAATCCACCAGGGCTCTGTGTAATTCCTGGAAGGAGGGCCGCTCCTTGGCGTTCCTCCTCCAGCAGTTCAGCATGATCTTGTAGAGAGAGTCCGGACACAGCACAGGTTGAGGCAAGTAGATCTGCGAGATCGAGGGCGAGACATGAAATACGTCGCAAAATGATTTTTCCCACTCGTGAAATGAAAACCGTTCAGTCGCCCTCACCTGTCGCTTCTGGTCCCTGAAAAACTCCCCTGTGTTTTCTATCACCTGCTCGTCGGTGAGCTGGGAGTACGGCTGCTCCTTGCAGAAGTTCAGGATCTCCCACAGCGTCACGGCGTAGGCCCAGACGTCACTCGCCGTGGTGAACTTACCCTGCACAAACAGAGATGTTGCGTTGTATGCGGTTCCACACAGCAGTAGCTGTGAGTTGGCAGCAGCAAAGTGGATTTACTTAAGTGCAGCTTTTGAGAACTTGTACTTTACTTGAGAAGGATTTTTGTGGAAAACTTAATACTTTCACTCCACTACATTATAATGTTGATTTTTTTTACAACATTAAATTTCCATTGTGTTACTTTTGCTGGTCTTGTTGTGTAGTATCTATTTTGTTACTCTGACACACAGTAAATTTACACACTGCTCCCCTATGCAGTGGGTGACAATGTGCAGCTTTAAACCTGTTGCGAGAAGAAGAACCCTGTTTGTCCCAGTAGTGTTGCATTATGACGTGAATGAATAATGCATTAAACTGCTAAGTGTCTTTGAGCATCCAAAAAAGCTAGAAAAATATAAGACTCCTGCGTTATTATTGATGACCTGTCCAGAATAGCACAACGCTCCAGTGAAATTTAAATACTTAAAGCACATACTACAGTACTCCAACTTAGGTAATAATTTGACGGAGCTACTTTTACTCTTACAGGAGTAATATTTGACCAGTAGGAACATTTCTTCCACTCAAGTAGTGAAACCGAGACCTTGCGCCCAGTACAAAGTCGTGTTTCAGCAGCGGCCCTCACCAGCAGGATGCTCTCCCATGACATCCAGCGTATGGGCAGCACCGCTCTGCCCTGGATGCGGTAGTAGTCGCCACTGTACAAGTTTCTGCTCATGCCGAAGTCAGCTATCTTTATTGTGTAGTTTTTCCCCACCAAGCAGTTCCGTGTGGCCAAGTCTCGATGGACAAAGTTCAGGGAGGAGAGGTACTTCATCCCCGAGGCTATCTGGGTGGCCATGTAGCACAGATCACTGAAGCTGAAGGGGAGATGAGAGACGTCACCATGTGGTGGGAAGACAAAACGACAAATGAAATGCCATGGTCGCTGGCTGACCTGACAGTCGGTGCGTTGCTGAGGAGAGCGAGTTGTCCCTCGGGTTCGTGGCGGGACAGAAACTGGTTGAGGTCTCCATTTTCCATGTACTCTGTGATCATACAGAGCGGGTCGCTGTAGATGCACACGGCGAGCAGACGAATGATGTTGGGGTCCTTCAGACGCGACATGATCTTTATCTCTTTCAGGAAGTCATTCCTGTCCATATAGAAAAAGTTTGTGCAAGTTTGCGTAGGTTTAATATAAATCAGGTAAACAGTAACCTCATGTTTGCTTTCATTTGTTGTTAAATTTCCAGCTCCAACGACGGCGCACCTTGCATTCTTGTTGGCATCTGAGCGGAGCATCTTCACAGCCACCAGCACTGGCTGGCCCTCTGGGACGTCAAATAAGTAGTCCTCATTTATGAACTCCTGCATTCCCTCTGCTTCACAAAGATGCACCTGAAGCAGCACAAGATAATAAAAAAAAACAAAAAAAACAATTAAGGGGATTAACATTTGCTCGTGCTTTTATTTTTAAGTGAAGTCGTATGCAACTCGCACCTCTCCAAACTGGCCCTCCCCCAGCTTCTCCTTAAATGTGAGCAGTTTTCGCGGGAACTCCTCCACAACGACGTCCTTCCCGGACAACAGGTCCATTGTCACCGCGGGGATGGCGTACGTGTTGCCTCCGGTGACGCCTTGCAAGTTGACGATGTCTGCCTCTGCGTAGTGGGGGGCGCCGTCCTGCACCACAGTTTGAGTTGTGGACTTTGAAACTGCAGTGGCGGCCGAAGCTGCAACACATCATGAGACACAGGAGCTGAAACCACAACAGGACGGACGCTTCTCACGGGAAAACATTTGAACCTTTTCATGTTATAACCACCAAATTTAATGTATTTGATTCTAATGTACAGGCTGGCTCGACAAACACATCAAGCATTTTTGTGAAATATGATGGAAAGTTGCATGTTTATATTGCATACGTTACATCTTAAAATCTGAAATGTGTGGTGTACATTTTTGTCCAGCGCCTCTGAAGCTGCAGTATGTAACTTTAATGAAAAAGGATGTTTTGTTGTTTTTTACATATTTGACAAATGTGAGAAAGCAAGCTCTTCTGCTTTCTCTCTTTGCTAACTAGGAAGAACCAATCGGAGCTTGGAGATGGGTCTTTATACAGTCAATCATCCTAATGTACCTGCTGTTCACTCTCCTTGGTCTCTGCAACATCACAGCTTCTCATTGTTAGCACAGTCTGCCATGTATGCTCAGGCTACTTAGCGTAGCCACCGATGACAGCACATAAATAGCCTCCCTGTTATTAGTTGCTTCTCCACCATTTGCACATTGAGTAGTTTGTACACAATTGTGATTGACAGCACTAAGACCTTTCTCCTGGCTCTGATTGGTTGTTTTTGACAGGGACTTGTGCATTTCTTCAGACATCAGCAGCATTGGGAGCTTAACAAAGTTTAATATAAAGGTCTTCCTGCTTTTTTTAAAGAGTGTTTCAGGGAACAAATAGCATCATAAAGACCAAGAAACACAACAGTTGAATAACCTTTTTTTTAGCCTTTTTATTTGCAAAAACGAATGAAAAATAATTGCTTTTGCTTCCAATTCGCAATTGTGTTCTGGATTTAATTGGTCATGGATACGCTAATTACAGGCCAAATCCCTTTTTTTATAAAAGAAAAAAAATAGCACTGTGTGTTAATATCCAAGCAGATTTGCTGGCTTACCAGGTTCCTCTGAGCTCTGTGCAAACTCCGGCAGCTTACATATGAGGCGCGACGGCTCCTGGTAGTCTGGGCCCAGAGGGAAGATGCGTTCGTAGGTGGAATTGGACTCCTGTTCGCCGGTTGTGCCTGGCCGGTTGCCGGTGTGATTGTAGCTGAACGTCTCGCTCTGTATCGACAAGCTTGCAGTTAGTTCGTCGTCCAGGATCCGACGAGAGGCCTGGAATAAAACAGGAGTGTCAGGGAGTACATCTGACTGTCTCCGAGAGGAAAAACTGGAAATGCATAAGATTACACTGTTTGTTAGTTGTGTTAATATATAAGAAAAAAAAAAAAAAAGAAAAGAAAGGGGCGAGTTCACCTTTTCCAGCATCTTCTGCCACACCTGTCTCCACAAAATGATGACAATGATGGCAACAAGGATGAATATGATGGCCACCAAACAGCCAATCAGAATGCGAGTGTTGCTGTCATCTACTTTATGGGTTGGGTCGTCTTCTGATGAGGGAGGAGGAGAGGTGCCTTTTAAAGATTTTAAAAAGAGACTTTAGTTTTACGTGCTTCCCAGTTAAATGAGAATTTTAAAAAGATATAAGTGCGTGAGCATCGAACAAACGTTTATGTTTTCAACCAGCCGAGATGTCGCTTGGCCTGCTTCACAATGAACCTGGTATTTCATTGTGACAAAGGTCAACACTGACATGGAGCTACACCGTTTTACCAAATACATTTGGAGACGTCCCATTCTCAATCCATGGAGTTTAAAAGCGCATGGCAGCCACAGTTTTCAAATGTACCAGCTTTAGTTCTTCTGGAAAGGATTTTGACAAGTTCTAGGATTGTTTTTTAGGGGATGCACACTTTAAAGTGGCAAATGCATATTCCAAAACGCTTTCCCCAAACTATCACTGAGATACCCTGGAGGCCATTTGAAGTCTGGAAGTCTACACACCCTCCATGCTTTCATGGAGTGTCCCAATCATAAATTTTGATTTTTGCAATCAAAGGAATAAAATAATTTATTTTATTCTCTAGTTGAATAAAATTTCTCACATAACAAAGATAACGTAGATTTTAAAAAAAAACTTTTTATACAAACTATGTTAGCAAGAATCAAGATTTAAAGAAATTACTGTAGGCATTGCTCACATATTATCAACCAAGCCTTGCATGTGCATGTGAGATGTAGTTCCTCACCTGGCTTAGGAGTGGAAGGCGGCGTTGTGTTGTACATGGCTGTATCTGAAAAAGTTTCACCAATTGTTACTTGGGTTGAAAACTCATCTCAACAATTTCACCCCAGCACCGAATCAGCTCCGCACTCAGTACCTGACTGGAAGGTGATTTCGCTGAACAGCATCCAGGCGTCAGCAAAGTGGAACTGGCACTTGATGGCGCTGGCCATGTGATTGGCCAGCTTGACGGTGATGAAGCGGGCGCTGGGATTCTTCTCGTCCTCCACGGGGCTGAAGGCGAGCGGCGTTGTCTCCCAGTCGGAGTCGGAGCGGAAGTGGCAAACCACCTGCTGGAAGGCCTTGACGCGTCGGGAGAACATGTTGTTGCAGTGGACCTGCGCACACGAGGGCATTCTCTGTGACGACCCTGGAGAACGACGCGCGAGGACTTTCACGCCGCCGCGTCGGCCCGGGACTCTCACCTTCATGGAGGTGAAGTTTCGTATGCGGTCAAACTCGAACATGATCTCGACGGATCCACCGGGGAAGCTCTCGTTGTTCCAGCCCACGTAGTCGTACCCGGGCCATCCGTTGTGGACGTGGCTGAGAGTGAAATCGTCTTCTCCACAAACGCCGTCGGTCAGCTGGCCTAAGCCCTCTGTCATACTGAGAAACACAGAAACAAATCTGTGAAAAGCTAGAAATCCACAGCCAATGAGCTCCAGTCAGAAACATCTTCAGTCTTTTGAAGATTATATTAAGCTCCTTATTAACTCCTTCAATGAAACGTCCCTGCTTGTTATTTATAGTGCTGCTAATGACAAAACCAGTCGTGACTCTGTTCACCATGGTTACACAAACAAAGCAGTGAACTTTTGGGTTTTGTTTTAGAAAAAGCACAGCATTTGTGATTTTCACCACCAGGAAGCTGAACTATAGTGATGGGAGGCATAGCCATCTGTAATGGAGGCTTGACACTTTTGGCCTTCTTCATGCTGTCAGACGGGTTCTGTTTGTTGGTTCCACACTTCTGGAAGTAGAGTAAATTTCTACTAATTGTTTCAAGAAATGTTCTTAATTACAGTTAATTCAATAAAACAGGGAAGGTGATTTCTTTTTCATTTAGAACAAGGTATGGTTCGGATTACTTTTGAAAATTTAATATATGAACTTTTTTTTTAATCTGCATTTTGTGTCGACTAAGTTTGTCTGCTATTAAAATTTGTTTGGTGATCTGAAGCACAAATGTGACTGAAAAAAATGTACATAAAAAAACAATAAATAAATCTATAAAGGGGTAAGTAAGTACTTTTTTTCACTGCACTGAATGGTTTTCCATACACAGTATTTCAAGTTAATTTATATTCTTGTTCTAAAGCTGCACTTTTTATGAAAATGTTTTTTTATATGCTTGCATAGACCAAAACAAACATATAAGAAACATTTTCATAAAAAGTTACCCAATGCAACTTCAATCTTGTTTGATTTCATCAACAAATTGGCTCATAAATGAACTGTAATTAATTCATAACACTAGGTGGCAGCGTTACCAAACAAAATCCACTCTTACAGGAATTTGTCAGATTTTCTATTATTCCTCATTTTTGCTTTCCTCCTCCACTGTTTCCTTAACAGAGTGCTTCAGTGTCATGGAGGACATTATTCACGCTACAATCCAAACAAAACAAAAGCCCTGATTGGTCGATTCTGGGTCATAAAGTTTTTCAGTCCCGTTGACTCAGTTATTCCCAGGAGAGGAGGTTTTGCCTAACAATAAAACACCCCGACCCACTCACACCACTCTGTTTCTTTGTTTTTGCCATGGCAATGGGAACTAGCATGGTGAGGAGGAAAAGCAGCGATTATTAGAGATGAGAGCTCCATCAAACTAGCGCAGGAAGCAAAAGGTGAGGAGCAAAAGCACTGAACGGTCATTCACCTGTAGATGACTGCTCCATCGTAGACCGAGTCGTTGAGGTAAACAGTGTAAGCAGGAAGGTTCATCTGTTGTCCTGCAGGAGCGTTGTACGAAACCAGGCCATCTGGGAAGAAATGGCACTGTGCTCTTTAGTTGTGGGGATTTTATTGACATTGTTTAGAAAGCCACAAAGTTTGTTTTAAACTGCACAGTTTAGGGTCACCGTGGTAACAAATGCACCAAGATACAGGTAGGATGTATAAAAAAAATTAAAAAATTGAAAAAAAGGGCCATTTTGAGAATTTCAAACAAAACTTACCAAAGCAACAGAAAGCAAAACAAGGAGATGGAAAATATTTATGCTATGTGGGGAAACAGCACGGAAAATGGTTTCAACAAAGTCCTTTTCACAGACTTGTTTGTAGCCTGCAGAGTTTCATTTCTCAAAGAATGTGGGTCCGGTTTAGGGAAAGAAAGGGTGAAATGAACATTTTCACATCTTTCATCAAACACAGCTTTTCTTCTTTGCACAACAGAAACCAGACTTAAAGGGACACCAGTAAGAATGCATTCATAGTTTGGCAACAGAAGTTACGTTCCACATGGTCAAATACTATATTATCATAATATCCTTATCTTGTCTACTGGATTAGAGTTTACACAGCGCGTTGTTATGCAATGGTAACTGGAAATCAGCTGTTCCTTCCTTTTGTAAGCGGCTCAAAGGTTAGTGTTGCTTCCACTGTTTTACGATCATCCTTAAGAGGTCACAGTTATTTAAATGCATTCCTAAGTGCTTCTCTCTGTGTTTTCTCTCCTGCATAGCTGAACTCAAACTCACCGAGCCACTCACAGCCGTAGAGCTCCACTCTCATGCAGACGTTCATGGAGTGGTCTATGACAGGCATGAAGCGGACCAGACGAGCGATGATGGGCGGCTGCATGTCCCTGAGTGCGATGTCGTACGTGTTCCTGTTGCCCTCAATCACCTGCAGACGAAGCAAACATTTTATGACATCATGATCAGATTAATCTGATGTCTGATCATCACTATATTGTTTTTTCAAAAAAAAATTATCTCAGTGTTAAGTCACTTATTGACTAGTGCCTGGAAAAAGTTTAACCACCTCTTAAAGGTAACCTACAATACTTCCTTGAACAGGTTAGGATAGGCCTATGGCAGGAGAATCAAACTCCAGTCCTCAAGGGCCGCTGTCCTGCAGTTTTTAGATGTGCCACATGTACAAAATACTGGAATGAAATGGCTTAATTACTTCCTCCTTGTGTAGATAATTCTCCAGAGCTGTGCTAATAAGCTAATTATTCTATTCAGGTGTGGTGCAGAAGAGGCACATCTAAAAGTTGCAGAACAGTGGCCCTCCAGGACTGGAGTTTGACACCTGTGGCCTATGGGCTACACAAAACATTTTCATTACATTTTGTATTCTTTATTTATTTTTTTGCACAAGTTCATTCTTAGATAGCAAGAGTTTCGTCTTCTCACTTCTGCCTACTTTGAGCTCCTTTTAGAATCAGCTGTTTTGGGGCCTCTTACCGCTTTAAATTCATATAAGCTCCTGCTGGCCGTGTCAAAGTTTACACTCTCTCGTGAAAACGGCTGCAAACATATGCCCAGTTATGCAACCGTACATCTTTGAGAAGCAGAAGTGGAACCTCCTGTCCAACCAACAAGAATGCAGCAAGTGATTTTTGGATGGTAAGTCAGCAACAAACCACTTGTCTTTTCCAGCAGCCATTGTACAACACACACAATTACATTAATTTTTGAAATGGGTAATTTCCAAAATAATTAAACATTAGTTGGAAGCGTCAACTCATATGATTATCTTTGACTTCTCGCCAGCAGGTGGAGTTACCTGTTTTCCCTGCCTGTTCTTCCATGAGATCCAGCGACTGCCATCACGACTGTACTTAATCTTGTACATCTGGGCAAACTCGTTGCCCATTCCTCCAGCGTGACGGCCCTGTGTGCCCACAAGGGTGATGAAGTGGAGCGAACGCAAGTCGATCTGCAGGAACTCCTTCAGGTGGTCTGGTTCAACAGTTATCTCCGGACACCAGGCGCCGTCTCCCTCCTCACCGTCCAACCTTGGAGGTAAAGACAAACGATTTGAAAATGTGGGAAGAAGAGGGAGCCAATGAATGGAGGATGTAGAGGGGGGGGGAGGAAATGTCAGGATGAAGAGGAAGCGTGGAAAGAAATGTAAAAGTGGGTGGAGTGGAGGATTTGAGCTCTTAAAGCCGGTTGTAAAAAGGTTCTGGTGAAAGGCTGTGTCGTAAATCGTTCAAGTGCTAATTTAGGGGATGGAGCTGGGAAGGGAGACAGAAACTCAAACCAGAGTAGAGGCGGAAAGTGTATGACATCAAGATCCCGATACTTAGCGAAGGCCACCCAAGTTCTACAGCACACAGCTCTAGCACACCAGCTCCCCCCACGCATGCTTTCCTAATGATGCATCTGTGAGCAGAACCGGTACCCCAGTTTGTGGTTCACGTCAGATGATCGGGCACAGGCACCTTGCTGGACAAGCCACCTGTGTGCTGCACTTGTTCTCATGCCAAGAAACACGTGTCTGAGTTTGTGTGTGGGTAAGATGTACCTGCCGTATCTGGCAGCGGTAGACTCAGACCACTGACTGGAGGCAGAGATGTCCTCATCCGGTATCTGCCCACTCGACATCCCCAGAGCGTATCGACACACACCTGGAGCATCAAACATATGCATCAACGCAAGGGTCACCGCTATGAAAAGTCACACAGAGTGCTAATAAAAACACATAAGACGATGAGTGTTTAACCCCTTATTTGTCACTTTCTAAACACTCACATGGAAGTCAATGGACCCGTGATGACAGCAGCATTTCCACACCTGATATGATGAGTTATCACATCCCTGCAACATTTATCCTACTGCACAGCTCTGATTAATAGTTTGAAGCTTAACTCAAACATTCACTCCATCCAAGGTTGCGTGCACGGGAAAACCACCAACACAGATTGGGTAACGCTGGACGAAGGGGTCGAGCCAAACTCTGAGCTCTCATAATAAACTTAAGATAAACCCCAGCACTCAGACACATGAAGTTAGCAGGAAAGTAAGTGTGCTGGGTGAGCAACACCGGTACAGCTACCTCGTGGCTTTGCTTTGTGGTCAATAGGAGCAATATTCCCCCAACATTTCCTGCATGCCATCCCACCCCCTCATTCTCCATTTTCTGCCACTTGCCCGCCTGTGTGGTCTCTAGCAAGTCTGAAACGAAAGTTGTGATTTTACCTAATCCTCCACTGATTAGGACTCTCTAAAGTACCGGCTAAGTGAGACAAACCTGGTCAACAGTGGATGCAAATGAGCAAAAGAGTCTCATTCAGGAGTTGAAATTAAGAGGGACCGAGCTCTGCAGAGTGAAACTTAATGTTTTAGATGAAAGGGCCTTTGGGAAGTCTTGGTTCTCACAGCTGTGATTGGCCTGGGTGGACGGCTACAGCTGAGCTGCATGTGGAGGTGAAAGGGAGTGTGGCCCTGTTTGCCTGGCTCCATGTGTTACAGTAAGCCTTTGAGAAGATGCCAGCAACAGCAGAGCTTGAGGTTCAAGACCTTTTCTGTTTCTCCAGCTCTCCCTTTTTTTTCTTCTTCATCTCACCCTATAATTATCTCTTCCTCTCTTCTTGACCTCCTCCAAATATTTGCTTACAGCTTTACTTTGTGGAAACACAGTTTGGACTGATGACAGAATACTCCAGCCTTTGTTTATATATATATATATATAAAGAAGAATATTGTCAGAAGAATAATAAAGGCATAAATATTTATAAACAGGAACAATCATAATCTGGCTTTGTGTTGGAAAGTGGACCTCTGACCCAGTGATGAGTATTTTGCTGCCTGTATCAGGTTTTCTTCCAGCACTATTCTGCAGTCCCAGCTAGCTTCCCATCAACTTTTCTGTCCCTATTAAACAAAACCATATCAGCACCACAATCCTGCCTCCCACCATGTTTTACAATGGGAGTGGTGTGCTCTGGCTGATGTGAAGCGTTAGCTTTCTGCTGCAACTGGATGTGTACATGGGCATTATCTTACTCAAGTCGTCCTCCAGAGTAACCAAGTGCCTCTTGGCGGTTTCTCTGATTGATGTTCCTGTTGCACACCCTGATAGTTTAGGTGAGGATAGTAGATTTCCAATAGTTCGATTCTTAGATAATAGTTTGAATAGGGCACCTTGAGATGTAGTGAAAGAAATTAGATTTAGCAATTTAACAACTTGAAATTGGCCTCTGCCTCTTTAAGAAGCACATACTCTTTCCAACCTTCAGAGCCTCATCACCACATTTCTCCATGATGACGTTAAATCGGTTTTCAGGAGTGTTGAACTGAAAAGTAGTCTCTGTGATGGGCTCAGTAGGCATTCAGATCCATCAGGTGACTGCTAACTGCTGCTGCCGCTAGTCTGGAGGAGATGAGTGGAGGAGTCGTGCTCTGTGAGGAGGAGCCTCGACTGGAAACTGCAGGCGTAAGGAGGAGCTCTGTTAAAATAGGCGATGCTTGGTGAGAACGAGCGTTTAGGCCCTTCTGAATGACTAATAATGGTTTATTAACATATATGTAATTCTTAAAAACTGTGTATCCTTCCTGCTTTTGTCTTGTCACATAAAACCTAAGAGAAAACATTAAAGTTTTCTGTTAGGATGACAAAATATGAAAAATTTCAAGAAGCAACTTTTTTTTTGCAAGGAGTTGCAAAACGAATACAGTTGGAGCAGGCCATAAAAGCAGAAAAAAAAAGAAAGAAAAAAGACATGGCATATGGCTGCGGCAATAAAAATGCTATTTCCAGCCACTTCACTGAAAACCCTCTCAGTCACCGCTGATGTCTTTCCGTCTTGGCATTAACAAACTGCCAGAACGTCTGCATTTACAAAATGCTGCCACATTGGCTGATCCACTAATTATCTGATTTGAATACCAGGACTTTTCACTTCATTTCCCTCTTAGCTCGCATTAAAGCTGCAACACTCAAGTGTGTTTGCCCATGACTGTCCATAAAACTCGTCATCAGACGCCATGGTCACCACATCCTATAGTAAGTCTAAGACAGAGGGAGGTGGTTTTCAGGATGTTGTGCAGGATGCATGAGCGCTCCTCCAAATGTTGGTTTTTGCTGTGTTTATTTACCTACCCTGCCCACTCGGAGGTGACTCTGGGGGCGCGTTGTGGGGGCATTAGAGAGGGCATGGTCGGAGGCAGGCGCACATACACGGCTTTACTCAACCACCAGCTAAAAACGTCCTCTCAGGTGGAAAAGTGCACATCTTGTGTTGTGGATAAATTTCAAATAAATGAGAAAGTCACGTCTTCTTTGAGTCATGCTTGATTTATATATAATTTTTACAACAACTGAAGGGAACCTGCTTGATTGTGGGACACTATTGCTACAAAAATGCCTGGAAAACATATAATAACCCCCCTCCCAGATGACAGGGGATCTTTGCTCATTTTCCACTTTTTATTTTCATTAATCATAACAATGCAACAACTCAAAGGAAACAAATAAAAGGGGGAAAGCTGAAACAGATACGTATCGTGTTGCTGTGATTTGTGTGCGCAATCGTTTTTCTTCAAACAGATCTTGACCAAATGTGGCAGCAGTATAAAGATAAATAACATTTTGTTTCTTCTTTTGATTCATGGCTAAACATCAAAGCTTAGTCGGTGTGAGGATTGCCACGTCTCTTTTACAGCAAAAGCCACGTCACAACACAATTTCCCCGCACGGAAACAACTTTTCTGAACAGATTTGATTCATTTAGTGAAGCGCAACTGTCATCTAACAAGTCCATCATCTGAGGTACACTAAATCCCACACCGTTTTGCATAAGTCAAAAAATACATATTTTAAATTAATATAATAAAGCACAAGCAGACTGGGATATGTCCTCTTGCGGCGTTAAAGCAGATTATGAAGATAAATAAGGAAAATTAAGCTGAGTCTACTCAAGAGCCCAGAACAGCAGAGGACAGAGCGTGACTTTGGTTTATAAAGCAATAAAAGATAATATGATATCTAAAAAAGAAAAAAAAATCCAATATTAGCTGGGATTAGAATCAGCCAGTAAATTTAGGCACTCAGTCAGTATGCGCTCTAAACGCCCTCCCCTCAAAAGGTCTAGTCTGTAAAGGCATTGCTTAATATTCGGCTGCCAGGACGGGGCCTGCCCTGGAGCCTGCCTCTCTCCACAGCAAAATAAAGTTCGCCCACTCACAAGCAAAATGGGAAAGACAGGGATGGTATAACTCCATTGCTAGGGAATTTTAAATAGGGGAAAGTTGGCATCACTCAACAACTCGGCTCTGCTAAATTCAGTGGTGAATATTTCCAGGCTGTGGAAAAATGACCCTCTTCTCAATGCAGCAGAACCGAAGCATTCAAGAGGATTATAGGTGCATCAATATATCAGAGCAGGTTGAGACCTGAGCTTTCAGCCACAGAGGGGGGAGATGTTTTTTTTTTTAAGCCTGGATGTGGACTTGGGTGGGACGTTGCACGTAAAATATTGCTCGAGTGGCGAACCTCGTTGAACTGTGACCACAATTAGATGCGCAAGCAGTCCTTTCCATGACTTATGAGTGGTCAAACGCGGGGAATCACACACTGGACACTCTTGTGCAGAAAAACTAACAAAAAGACACATAAACATTGTGGAAGAAAGACAGTGAATTTCAATGGACTTTCCTGCTGTCAGAATGTCTGGTATGCATTAGCCACAGACTCCAGTGGGATAGCTTGGATCCACAGCATGCATGTGCATGAGGGCAAATCCATGCAAGCAGGCGTAGTAGCACACACACACACACACACGCACACGCCCACACGCGCACGCCCACACACACACACACATAACAACGAACAAAAACAAAGAGAGTGAAAGTAAGAGGGTTCACTAGAGTCAAACAAGACTACGGTTCACACTTTGCCAAATAGGTCAGAAACATATACACATAGAGGGACGATACAGGCAGAAGATGCTCAGCTTAGGATCCATTTGACTATCCTACTATTTTATTATAATTATTCTTTACCATTTATATCAAAGTCAGGCCAAGGCATAAGCAAACGAAGCAGCTGCTATCAACTGGTGGAGTTGCAATGGGGACAAAAACAACAGTATCCCTCATGCGAGTCAGGACCACAAAGTTTTTGTGAGAACAATTTTTTTTATGACACAAAACACAATAATTTTTTTAAAGTAAAAATACTGTAGTCAGAGCTTTTTCTAAGCAAAATAATATTAGTAGCTCAAAGGTTCTCATCAAAGAATTATGATGCTACAATAACTGAGTATGATGCAGAAATGTCTCAATATGAATGATAGTTACAGCATATCAGATGTGAGGGCTGATAGCCAAAAGGCTCCCTTTTGTGCCTCCGAATTGTGCCAGCGTTGGACTGGCTCTGTTTTTCTTTTATTCTCCTACATCTCCTTGTAAATTGTGCTTCCATTTTGGATTTGACACAAAGATCGAATCCAAAATAAACCACAGAGAGTAGCTTATTGTCAAGGGTAGCTTTTGTTCAAAACAGCCCTTTGTCATGACAATGCTTTTAGTTTTAAGTTTTTAGGCAAATCTTAAAAAGCAAAAGTGTGGGGGAGTTAGCTGGCAAAAACAATGGGCTAATTTTTATGTGTCTCCTCTGTGACCATGGCGACAAAGTATTTGTGCCTCTGGGCATTTTTGTTTTCACGTTGGCGCACACTCTTCATCGGGGTTTATGTGATGAAGGAAAGTCGAAGGAAAATGTCACTGAAAACTAACATGAAACTGGACCCCGGAGTCACCAACCCCACTGTAAACATGGTGGTGGCGTCAGTTTGCCGTCCATTTTTTGTGGTGTGGCTGGTCAGGGTTTGATGAAAAGATGAACGCAGTTAATGGCAAGACTGCAAAAGAGCTGAGACTGAGGAGGAGTTTCACCCGCAAGGAAATGTCCTTGTCAAAGTCCATCCTGAAATCTGATTGATAATCTGCCACAAAACCTGAGATTTTTAAAGACCCTCCACATGCAATCTGACTGAGCTTGAGCTCCCAAAGAGTCGTGTTGGTTTGCAGTTATTGAAAAACTTGTTGAGTCATTCAGCAAAAGCTGAGTCAACAAATTCCCGACTCAGGAGGGCTTAATATAAATACGTTCAGATTTTCGTTTGTTAAAGAAACGGAAAATGATGTATCGCGTGACACCGCAAAATTTGTGAAGAAAAAAAAGAAACATCAACAGCTTGGAATATTTTTGCATCTCACTTTTCCGGAGCCATTTGTTGCAGTTCAGATCTGTGTATGTGTCACATATTATTTTTATTCAACAGGAAAGGAATCTCACCCTAATGAGAGAAGCTCTGTGTTGCCAGCTCGAGGTTTTCACTGGCAAATATCTGCTGTTCTTCCATTTTGTCAGCTATAACTAAAAACTCATTTCGGTTTCAATTTAATTCCATCTCTGTCTTTCCCACTCAGTTTACTTGTTAAAAAACAATGATCTGTATTTCACTTGATTCCAAGAAAACCACAAGTGCAGATGCTGGAAAGAGCTGGAAGAAAGGTGAACGTCCTCTTTTCACTGGAGTCAAACCAGAGAGACGCAGGACCACTGGACTCTTACGAAGCACAACTCATCCCAAATCCGAGCTCCCTGCTTGTATCAGGGGCCGAGTCCAATTCCGATACAAACCTGGGTTGACCTGCGATGTGACGGTTCCCAGCAGCTGGATGACAACGAGCGGGAGGAAGTGAGTGTCTGACAGGTGCCTCATCATCGTGAACACACGAAAACAGACAGGCGTCCACAACCTGGGGGAAAATATGAAAACAGCAGGTCAGAGAATGTCCGATGGACTTTCCAATGTTACTTAACCACCAAAAAAAAAAAGAAAACAGACACAAAAAAAAAAAAAACCTAATCCCACCCATTTGTGTTTGCTTTTTGGTATTCATGGGAACAAAACTTTCACTTAGAATACATGAGAGCCTAAACAGAATGATGCTTTTTTACAACCAGCAACAAAAACGCAGTAATTAACAGCTAACAGTGGAATTTCCATTAACCAACCAGTTTATTACCCAATGAGGGGGAAAAAACCCCCAGTTAAACCCAAAACTGCAGTGACATCGCGCCATCAAACACATGAGACGAAACAGCTTTGCATGCTTAGTTCTGACTTAGGTTCTTGATATTCAAATATGCACCCGAGCTGAGAAAGTGAACGACGCCTGGAATGAAAGGATGAAAAGAGGGAAGGAGGAGGAGACGCCGAGGCCTTAAATCACAGACATGACTTCAGCCGGACTGACACGGAGCCAAGAAGCCACCTCCGACTGACCACTCGGTCCAGCAGCTCGGAAACCAGTCACAACCAGTTTGCGTCCGCGTTTCGTTCATGATGCGAGTCTTTTACGTGAAAGCTGACATCCGCCGGAGCCTCACAGCCTTTTCACTCTCAGTATTGTAGAAAATCACTGAGCATCAACTTGGGAATAAGACTTTTGGCTGTTTACAAGTTTAGCTGCAATTCTCGCACAACTTTTTCAACACGAGAGCATAAATGGATGAATGTGAATGAGTCTCCGTGTGCACTGCTGTTTTCTACGGACTCTGGCTGACTCATCTTCAGACTGGTTAAAAAAAACAAACAAACTATTAGTCATGCTCCAAATTAGTTTTTTTTTATTTTAGATTTTTGTAAAGCTTTGTGGAGGTGCAAAGTTGCTTTCATTCTAAAATGAAGCTTAAACCAGAAATGAACCATTCTATATATTAATTAATGAATATTGAGGCTCAAAAATTACTCATTTATAATCTAGAAAAATCTTTTAGTGCAAACATGATGAACACAAGCAGAAAAGTCTCAGCTTTAGGACTCAGTTAAGATCTTTAAGTGTTTGAGGTAAGTGAATTCTTACCTCAAACTTGCCCGATTTCACAATATTTCTGACTCAACTTCATTATTGCCACTTTCCACAAAATTGTTTTGCTTTTTCACTGCCTTTTCCTGTCACCTCTCATCCCAAGAAACCTCCTCCAAGCCAAATTCCTCTGCTTTCAGTGCGTCTGAAACACAAGCAGCTGATGTTTGTGCATTTGGAAGTCAAACGTACGCTCAGCGTGTTCATTACACGTTATAAACAGCCTGTGTTGCACGTGGGCCCAGCGGAGACTTGCCTCCGCTTCAACATTCATAACCGATCCATACGTCGCACTTTCATATTTGTGATGAAAGTGGAAAAGCTCCTTTTCGACTCAGCGGTTCACATACAGCCGTTCTCATATTCACACAAGCATCTCCACAGACGCTTTGAGTCCAAGGCCTCATGTAGTAACTTTGGCATCATTATAAATAAGGCGCCAACTTCACTGACTTTGAAGCCAGTATAGGTTTTGTTTTCTCATCATTTTTCCCAGTTAGGGAACAAATGTCCACAGCCTCCAGCAGATTTATGAACTTCAAACCTGGTCTTATCACATAACAGTAATGAAGATAAAAAACTTTTTGTGTGTTTGTGTCCGTTTTGCTCGATCACAGTTGTAACTTCACATATAAGTCTCAGGACGTAAAGTACACAAGGGTCCATCTTTTAAAGTAATCCCAGTCCGGAACTGGGAGCTGATTTGTCAAAATGCTTGATCTGTGTATTTATTGAAATCTTCTAGAAAACCAAAAAAACGATTTTTATTTTTTTTCTTCATTTTAGTCGCAGGGTTTCAGTTTGTGCTCTAACTGGGTTGTTGTTTTAACCACGTGGACTACCCTTGAAGCGGCTTACGAATTACACTTTATAACAGTCAGAGGTTTGGTGAAATGGCTTTGAACAAGTCAGCTGTGGTACATTCAAAGCACAGCGTAAACCTCAGAGGACAGTAACATGAAAAGCATCTCTGTAAATCCTGGTCCAGAAAACAAAGCGGGGAAAATAATGATGCATCTGACGAGGTCTGCTCCGGGATGCGCAACGTTTCCTTGTGAATATGTCCTCACCTTGGAATATTGTTTGCTTGTGCCAATGTTATATTGAGATGGATTTCCCGCCCGCCATGTGTTGTGATGCAGCATCTTCGTGTCCCAGCTGCGCTCTCAGTATGAAGATAGCAGCTGTTCCTCCACATCTGTTCCTCGCTGCAGGAACACGAGATCAGTAAACAGGTTGATAGAGCCGCAGGAAAAACTTATTCATAGGTCGCTTCTGAGTCAATCGGGACGTTTTGTGCTTTTCGCTTGCAAATGCTGGGCCTTCGCGAAAGTGTTCACACTCTTCTAACCAAAGCGTGTGACGTTGTGACCGCAAACTCCAATGTCTTCCATTAGGATTTGCGAAGTGAGAAGAACGTGAAGCGTGTGCAAAAACGGTTTTCAGTGTAAAGTTTTATGTGGATAAATATCGGAAAAGTTTGGTGTGCCCGTTTTCGGCAGCCTGAGTCAATAGCTTCAAGCAAAACAATTCGCTTCATTTACAGCTGTTGTAAGTTTAGGAAGTTTTCTCTGCCTGCTTTGCACATGTTTTCCCCCGTTCTTCTCTGAAAAATGTCAGAAGCTCAGTCAGAGAGAGCGTCCGTCACCGTCGGTGTTCATGTTTTGTCACTGAATCACACGTGAACTTTGACTGGGCCACCCTAGCACGTAAATGTCACTGCCTGAACTTTCGTCAGCATTCGAGCTCTGATCGTGGAGATCCAAAGGGGGGTGAGGTTCTGCAACACTCACCTCAAAACTTTAAGTCTTTGAAAGATTGAAATATTTTCTTCCAGTAGTTTCCATCAGTCTTCCTGTCAACTTTGAACACCTCCCCACAGCATGATGCTGCCACCACCATGTTTCAGTGTGAGCTTGTTGAGCACAGGGAAACACACTTCTTTTCTGAGCAGAGCATCTTCTCCTTCTCTGGCTTCTGCTGACATGTTGTCAGATTTGTGGAGTTTACACAGATTAATCCAACCTGAGCTGTGAATCTCTGCAACTCCTCCAGAGTAACCATGCTTATCCCGACTGCTTCCTGCCAGCTAAGGTGGGAAGCCGCGTCTTTGTAGGTTTGCTGTCATGCCATACTCTTTTGGACCAAATAGTTTAAACACTTTCCAGATGAACTGATCAGTGCTTAATAAATTTTCAAAACTCAGGATGAACAAATTTGTTTAATCAGTGATTTTTGCTCTGGAGCCTTAACTGAGAAATCAGATTGTTACTGACAACAACCTTAATAAGACAATTGCACTGGATTTTATCTGGCTGTGTCAAAGTAAATTGGGCTGAACATTAAAGCAAATTTCAAATTTCTTCTTTTTTGGGGGGGGGGGAATCCATAACTCTTTTTTGCCTTCCACTTAACAATTATATGCTAAGGAGTTTTTGTCTGCATAAAATTCGGTAGTGTTGTGACAAAATGTGGAAAAGTGCAAAGGTTCTGTGGAGGGAAAAAAGCATTAGGGCTCATAAAATATAACGGTAGTTCTACTGATTGTCTTCTAATATTTTGGTTATTATGTGTTGTCGATAAGACAGTTGTTGAGTGGTGCTTAGAAATACGAGAGCTGCAACACAGACCGTTCTCATATTTGCACATAAACTTCATCGAACCTGAGTTCTTCTGGAAATGTTCTGGTCTCAGCAGACCAGAACATTTCAGAGAAGCTTTTTGGCGAAATAGATGGTTCAATAATGAAAATAATACCTGCTTCCAGGAATAGTGGGCTTGATAGCTGACCCCCATAGCTGCCAGTGAGCACATTAATACGACTGGAAAACTCAGAAAGCTTAAACTCAGAGAAATGGTGTGATTGGAAGTGAAGCTCCAATGGGAGTAACACAGATTGAGCACATTTATTTATTGAAGGTGGCGCTTTAAAAATTTCACTCGGACAAAAAATTATGAGAAAAAGAATATTTTGTTATGACCTCTTCTGTTCTCACCGGACTTTCCAAATGTATTGCTAGGATCATGTCAGCCCTTTTCCCCTACTGATGGAAAATACTGCTGGAATGTTTTAAACTCCGATCTATTATTTTTCAAGGCTGCTCCTCCACACACCTCTCCCTCTGGGTAACATATGAGAAAATAAACCACTGACACCTTTAGAAGCTTTCCGAACAGGGCCAGAAAAATAAACCGGAGCAGAATGAGAGTAAAGCAACCGAACCATCCTCCCTGTACCCCCCCCCCTTTAATGTCATATACTGTGTCGGGACAATTTAAGTTTGTTCTGGGGGATCATTTTTCATCAAACACTCATTTAAGAGTCCCCCTAAAAAAAAAAAAAAAAAAAAAAAGAAAGGCTAAATCTTTACGGACCAGAGGAAGACCGGATGGAACAATCAAGAAGAGATGGAAAAGAACATTACTTCACCGGCGTGCGTGTGCGTGCGTGTGCGTGCGTGTGTGTGCGCGTGTGTGTGCGTGTGTGTGTGTGTGTGCGTGTGCGTGCTTGCAGAACGTTTCACATTTTGTTCCTGCAGGCCCTCTACTGCGCCTCCATTAAATAAATTCTACTTATGAAGTAAAAGAGGAGCTTCTGCTTTATGCAGTGTCATTTTTGCAGTGAGGAGACCAACTGGATCTGTCAAAAAATATTACTGCTTCAATTACAGTAACCATTGGAAAGTGGGCATACCTAAAGCAAAGCAAAGTTAAAGAAAAGCTGACACTTGTAAAGGACTTTTAATGCAACTTTGCATTAAAAGTGTAAACATTCATGAAGACTCCTTCGTGTTTATGATAGCGTCATGTCAGTCTTATGTACATCCCTTCAAATAAAGTGTCACCAAAATTTTCTACCTTTTCTCTCTTTTGTTACACTTACAAGT